TTGGGCAAACCAAAAAAAAAAAAAAGTTGATGTAGCTAATCAGCGATGGCTTTGATGAAGTGTATTCATACACAGACAATCACCAGGCCCCATCCTGGAAGCCAATCATTTCAGAACACGTTTTTTCAAGATGTCAGTTTGCTATAATAGTAGGTTGTTAGACACAAACTACCATAGTCTTGGTTTTGTTTTTGTTTTCTGAATTTGCAAAAAGCGGTAAGCTTAAGTCACGAGGAAAAACACAAAACTGCTTTTCCCCCACTAAAAGAAACTTTATTTACCTATGCTTAAAACTCTACCTTAAAAAATGTAGAGATTTAATGAGGAGAAAGAAAACTTTAAAAACGTAGAATCTATTAGAATCTCACGTTGTCATTCTGTGCTCCTTGCAGTTAAAGACCATGTCATTATTTCCATTATTCTTCCCTCCTAATTTTCAGGGCTTATTAGCCTGGCTGTAAAAACTTGCTCCAGCTGAAATTTGGCAAGCTGACAAGGCTGCGTGCCAGAAGTAATTTACTATCCAGTGTGGTTTTCGAAGTAAAAGAAGCTATAAATAATAGAAAAAGAAATGAAAAGTTACTGGTTCCAAATATTTTAGTGTCACCTCAAACTTTTCAGCTTTTGTGGTTGGCAAAGCGAGATAACATGAAAGGTTTGAAAAGTACAGACGCTTTGCATTCGCATCAAACTGGTGTCTCTGATGTTCTCAGGCATCAAAGACGAGTCTGTGTCTATCACTTCTGCTCTGACTTTGAAGTTTGCAGGCACTTTCTGTGTGGGAGAGTCGGACAGGGGACTTCGAACAAGGCAGGGGGATGGGATTCCAGGTGCCTTGTCCCTCGTAATCGTTGAGTTTAGGGACTTCCTTTCATAAAGTAATAATAAGATAGACAACTATTTCTTTCTCTGTCATTTTTAACCAAAGAGCTAGCTGTCTGTGGATTTAATCTTCAGATGTGATAATGTGACTATACCAAGGAGAAGCTCAACTTTACTTTGTATTTTAGGTTCAAGTGTGTGGAAGGCAAGAGTAGAAATTTTAACTTGATTCGCAAACATCTGGTTAGCGTTCATCAGACAGCTCCTTAAAAGATGTTCTCAGGACCTTAACTGAGAATCCTCTTTGCTGTTTTCTATGTTGGCTCATCAACACAGAAATGGGGGCCAAGTGTTTTTCTCTAAGCCTGGGTGATCAGGATAAATCTTTCTGGGATCAGTCTTACTTGACAAAAGGCAAAAAATCATAATAATGTATGTTAAGACAAATACTAATATATTATGGGCTTGCATGTAAAATCATATGAGCACTTTTGGAGAGAGAAGACTGATCATTTGTACAGTGGTACCTGTACCTGTTTTTCTCAAACAGAAGTGTTTGGCAAAATTTTGTTTTTGTTTGTGACCTCTGCATCAAGACACAACCGTGGCCATCTTTCCCACACAAACACAAATGTAGTCATCTTTTCCAGAATCTTGGAACAAATTAAATTTGTGAACTGTGGTATCACTGTATATTAATAATTCTACCCTCAAAAGGGGTAGGTAGGATAGGGAAGCCAAAAAGAATTAAGATGTTTGCTAAGTGTGTTAGCACACACCTGTAATCCCAGCACTCAGGAGGCTGAGGCAAAAGAATTTCTGTGAATTTGAGACCAACCTAGTGAGTTCAAATTAAGCTGGAACTATATAGTGAGACCCTGTCTCAAAAAATCAAATTAATAATAAATAAAATAAATCTTTAAAAATAAGATATTTAGTGTACCAACTCAACTCCTCTTCATGAATGTACTGCATTATGTACTTCATTACGTATTGCAAACATGTAGTAATAAAAATTTAAAAGCTAAAAAAAATAATTCTGAGTCAGGCATGGTGGCTCCAGTTTGTAATGCCAACATTCAAGATGCTGAGGCAGCAGGATCACTGCAAGTTCGAGGTCAGCTTGGGCTACATCGTGAATTCAAAGCTAGCCTGAACTACATAGCAAGACCAACCCCCCCCCCCCCAAAAAAAAAGAAAACAAAGCAAAACTTTTTCCTAAAATATACATAAAAGTTAATAATGAAGCTGTTAAAGAGAATGATATTCTATGTTATGGGCTCTTTGCTATTGTTATTTATATGTCTTTTTTGTTTCTTGTTTTTCTAGTAATTTGTTTTGTTTTATTTTTCCCTCTAATGCAGAAAGGATAGATATACATGTAGAAGCTTATATATGCCTAGAACATCTCCTAAATAGTTTATGCAAATTGATTATATTACACATCATGATATGAACAGCTACTATGATCCAGTAATGCTTTTATTCTTTGTTTAGAGTGGTTTTTGTCTGTTTTGTATTATTTAATTTCAACATACATGAAGGTATGGATAGCTATTTTGAAGAGAACAAGAGATGTGGTAGCCATTGTTGATTTTCCTATTGTCTGGTTTTGAAGGCTGTAATGCTTTCATTATTCTGTCTTAATCAGTTTTATACTATTTTGTTTGTATGCATTCATTGTGTGTGAAGATATAGGTAACTATTTAGAAGAAAACAAGAGACATTATGGTAACCACTGTTGATTTCCTGTTGTCTTGCTTTGAAATCCTGTTTTCACATTGATTGTTTTCTTCTGATCTGCTTTGCTCTGTTTTGTTTTTCTCTCTTTAAAATAAAATAAAAATATTATAATAAAAGAGAGAAAGATATTCTCAAGAGAGAATCTGGTAATTAACTTTTTCTTCTTAAAGTATACTATCTAAATATACAAATCTTTTTTTTTTTCTGTCTTTTTTGTCTTTTTGAGACAGTGTCTCGATATGCAGTTCAGGTTGGCCTTGAGCTCACTTTGTAGCCCAGGCTGGTCTTGAACTCACAACGAGCCTCCTGCTTCAGCCTCCCAAGTGCTGGGATTACAGGCATGAGCCACCACACACAGCTTAAAAGTACACATTTTAACTGTACACTTCAGTGCATGCATTTTTACATATGTAGACACACATGATCCATCTACCTTGGTCCAGTGTAGACTATCTCCAGATCCAGAGATGATCTGGGTTTTCTTGGACTTCTCCAGTCAGTACCACCTTACTAATCTGATATTTATGGTAAGTTTTCAAGATAAAATACAAGACTAAAATAGAATCAAACATTTTTAGGGGCATTTTATCCTTCCAGACTCAAGTGCACATATTTTTTGCCCATATCGGGCATTATACAGTTTTCTCTGCTGTCTTGGGCTTTCTCCTGCAGATGATATTTTTGGTGCTGTGGATGATTTCTGAGGCTTCAAATATGCTAAGAACTCTCTGTCACTATACTAGATCCATAGCCCCTACTTGGTGTTTTTCATCTCTTTAAGAGCTCCTTTCTGGATCAGTGTTTTCACATATTTATGTGATGTGTTAGGTGGGTTATAAGAATTGAAACAAAACCAGACATGGTGGCACATGCTTGTGATCCCAGCACTTGGTAGGCTGAGGCAGAAAGATCACTGCAAGTTCAAGCCCAACCTCTGTTACATGTTGAGTTCAAGGCCAGCCTGAATTACATAGCGAGACTCTGTCTCAAAAAATAAATTTAGTGCACATAGTAGCTATGTACACAGTAATACTTAGATAGCTGTTTTATGAGATGCTGAAGTGAAAAGGAGGCTCTGCCTTTTCCATTGTAAATAAGAGCAAGATAAACATAAAATCTAAACTTTAAAATCAGGGAAGACAGTAACTGGAGTTACATTGTTTTAAACCCCGTATATCAAATTTGACTCAAACAAACGATTACAATTTGTCAGAGCTTACTGACTTTTTTGTACTTTAAGAAATTTTGCAAGTGACTTTTCTTATTTCATGCATTTATTTACTGAGCTTATTATATGATAGGGATTGCTCTCACCTCCCAGTGAATAAAACAGGAAAAAAATACTCAACACAGGACCCATTAATATTACTATACTACTAAGAAACTGTGCTTGTATTGTACAATTACGGTTTTTCTCCATGCTTCTATTATGGAGCTGAGTTAAGAAATGATAAAGCCCAGGCGAACATTTGTCTCAGTTCTGAGGCCAGAGTGGTAAGAATGTGAAATGACGAAAAGAATGAAAGCTACAGACATGGTGTATGATGAATTGCTAACTAAGCCTAGATCCCTTTCATAAATCACGTAGAGGATCAAGGTGCTAGTGTGACTGCTGAAATAAACAGGTCTAGCAAGAACTCCTGCTTTGGCTGATCATCTTCCGAAAACTTTTTTAAAAGAATGGAGCGGCCCAGTTGTTATCTTAGTTTTAGTAGTTACACCAGCAATATAGCTTCCAAGCTGGGTTGCCTGATGTTCTCTTAGCAATGTTAAACTGCTTGCATAACGCTTTAAGGAGGGTCTGTCTATAACTTGTTGACTTATTTCAGTAACTCCCAAGCTTTTCAATACCAAAACCCCCCTCCTTAAAACGTATCTGTATTTATCCAGCGCCAAGTGTTTTGAAAGAGCTTGTCTATACAATCAGGTGATTTAAATAATAAATATTTCTTCCCATTTTGCAATTAATCACCCAATAAGATTCAAACTGGCACGTGGAAATCCAGGGTCATCACACTGGTTCACTACTAGAACGAAGGGTTCTGGGTAGCCGGGCCAGTTTCAGAGCCCCTTGCGATTTCCCTAACTTTTTGAAATGCTTAAGTACTGTAATGTACTTTTTTAGGTTCAGAAATTGGGGTGAGGGAAGGAAACGCAACAAAAACAGACAATACGTGGTAAAAAACGCGCTTCAGGTCACTTTTAGGTAGCCGGGGTAGTTTTTTTAAGGCCCGCCGGAGGCCCGTGTCGCGCAGCTATCCCCGCCCCGCTGGTTCCCGCCCCTTCTAGCCACGCCCCTCCGTCTGAGTCCTCACCTTGGAACCGGAGGGTTTCTTGGCTGCAATCCCACGGTCAGCCACAGAGAGGAGACAGCGGCCGCGAGAACCGAAGGGCCGTAACCAAAGGCGGAAGCGGAAAGGGCGGGACGTAGGCGCGCGTTACGTCAGCACGCGTGAGCCCTACGGCTGGGTCTCTGGACTGGAAGGTGGGGGCGTTCTTCGCGCGTCAGTGTCTCACCTCCTGCGGGCTTGTAGATTTCCGACCTCATGGCGGAGATAATTCAGGAACGCATAGAAGATCGAATTCCCGAGTTGGAACAGCTGGAGCGCATTGGGTTGTTCAGTCACGCGGAGATTAAGTGAGAGGACTGGGGTGGACGGAAGGGAGGTTTGGGGATGTGTGTGTCTGAGTGTCAAGGGTGGAGAATAGTTGATTTATATTTATTTTTTCTGATTCAGAAGTTCATTTCCAGATCTTTGCTACCCAGAATAAAACACTCATCTAGTGTAAAGTGATCTGTCAGTCCATTTATCTACCAGAGACACTGTCAGCTCTTCACGGAGGCGGGTTTTGGGGCTAAAAAAGATGGTACAACCAGGGTCCTTGCCCATCAGCAACTAATTAGAGTACTACGTATGGCGGGAAATGCAGACAATTTAAACATTTTAGTTGCAGGGCTAGTTAGAGCGAGTGTCGTGCCCTAGAAATGGGAGGAGGGGACTACTGGAACCCAGGAGAAGTCTTCCTAACTGTATTCGCTAATGGGAGTTTTGTGTGCGATCCGAAAGCCTACCCACAGCGTCTAGCACATAGTTGGCATTCAGTGATTTGTTAAAATTACTTTTAGTGGGATTCTGTGACTTTTTTTTTGCTTTAGAGTGACTGTGGGAACCTCAAAATACACATTTGTTAATAAAATAGAACAAGAACAACGAAAGAATAAAACGCGGAACTTAGCAGTGGAGACTCTTAGAAAATGTTCAAGTAAATATTATCATTACCATGTATAATTATCCTGTGCATCTTGCATTACATTTTCCTAATATGCATATGTTGTGCATTCACTTCTTAACTAAAGGTGACTATGGTGATTCACATCTTTTATCATAGCACACTGGAGGCTGAAGCAGGAGGCCAGTCTGGACTACATAGTAAATTCAAGTCTGTTCTAGACTACATAGTGATATAGTGAAAAAACAAGTTTACTATCGAGATTTGATTATGATAAAAAGTTTTTTGTTGAGTGGTAAGTGTGTGGCTCAGTGGTATAGAGAGCTTGTCTAACTAGCTAGCATGCACAAGGCCAGAGTTCGATCTCAGGCACCTCAAAAACAAAACAGCTCCCTACCCCAGCTCCCTGCTCAAACCTTCAAGTGACTGAATTTAGAGGAAAAGAAATCTATTTGCTTTGCTGGGGAGTCAATGATCCTGACAAAGTGATTTTCCTAAAAGTTTAAAAATTCATCCTAATAGCCTTAGAACACAAAAGTAGTCTTCTTCATGATAGCCCATCCTATAATGTAGGGTGTACTTTTAATTTTTGATTTTCTCCCTTTTTTCTCTTTTTTTATTCAGCTCAAACTTGCTCGGTATAGCCTATTTTTCCTCTATTCTTCTGTTTTTTTCCCCTACCTTCAGTAAATATAGAAGTTTGCCACTGGAGGAGAAAATCCAGAAGTAATCATGTAAGACACTACTTAACGTTTTTAAAAAAATGACGTTTATTGGTGCATTTTGAATATAAATAATAATCACATTCATCATAGGGAATTTGTACCTGTATATGACACAACTTGAAGGCAGTACTTATCTAAGAAGGATAATGGTGTCTGGGAATTATATATCTTGGTGAATATATGATATACTTAAACCCAAAGTTACTTTTGTTCTTTTTGAGTATTATAGTTTAAATGGCTTTTTCCTTAGGGCTATCATTAAGAAAGCTTCTGATCTAGAATACAAAATACAGCGAAGAGCACTTTTCAAGGAAGACTTTATCAATTATGTTCAAGTAAGTGAACATTTTAATCCACTAAAATTTTGAGTTAGAACATTTGGTAAATTCAACGTTAGTTTTCTGCAAAATTTTTCAACTGTTATTTAGATTGGTGGTTTTGAACAGGGCAAGAGGTGATTATTGGGAGCTAGATGTGACAGTGTACGCTTCTGACCCCAGCACTGGGAAGGCTGAAGCAGGAGGATTGTCACAAGTTTGAGGCTAGCCTGGACTACATAGCAAGATCCTGTCTCAAAAAATAAATGGTCAGACAAACAAACCAAAAGGAGACAATTATTGGACATTTCATGGCCCACTGAAGCTTTAGTCCTTGTCAAACTGAACTCCTTCCTTCTTCCGTAGTACTGGGATGTGAATGCAGAGCCTTGTACATGTTAGGCAGTCACCATTGACCTACATACTCTGGCTCCCCACCCCCATTTTCCCCTTCCCTCTACTCCCCTTTCTTTTCCTTCCTTCCCTCCTTTCTTCCTTCTTTCTTACTGAATGAATAAATCAGAGGACAAGAAACATAGTGTGTGTTAGGATTTCAGCAGGAAATTTGCCTCTTTGGTGGTAGGATAGAGGAATGTAAACTTGATAGTAGTACATGGTTGGAAAATCTCTTAAGTCTGTTGATTTGGAAGGAGGGCGTCTTTAAGATTCCATCTTCTAAATGAATGGAAGGTTTGAGTGAAGATGAACATAGGCCATACTGATTTTCAGTTGAGGAAGAACTAATATGTTGGATGACAGAATCACTATTCAGAAAGAACCAATAACATGAAATATTTATATGACTTAAAGTTCTGAGATTAAATTGAAAAAGAAAATATGAATGCGCAACATATTAGACTTGGCTGGAAATCTTGCTTTCAGAAGAGATCTCCTGGCTTATAGTAAAATATAAATATCTACATTAACAAAAGTAGAATGATTGGTAAAATTGCAAATGGTAGGAACCAAGATGTTGATTTGAAAAAAAGTTTTGTATTATGACAGGTAAAGTATAAGGGTTAAGACTACATTTTAAGAAAAGGACTTTGGGGGCTGGAGATTTAGCTCAGCGGCATAAGCGCATAAGCGCCTGCCTTGCAAGCAGGCAGTCATGAGTTCGATCCCTGGTACCAGTTAAAAAAAAAAAGAAAAAAAAGAAAAGGACTTTGAACTGGGGCAGGAGGATTGCAGTGAGTTCAAGGCCAGCCTGAACTCCATGGGAAGACCTTGTCTCAGAGCACCCCTCAAAGGTGCTTGGAAAGCTGGGTGAGGTGCTGCAGGCCTGCAATCCCAGCACTTGGACACCTAAGGCAGGAGGATCAGTGTGAGTCCATGGCCAGCCTGAGCGGCATAGGGAGACCTTGTCTTAAAAAAAAAAAAGCTGATTGGAAGATAATTAATATAGAAACCTCATTATGGGAGAAAATAATTTCATCGGAAAGAGCTACAGCTGTTTAATCTGAAATAGATTTAAGAAGAGGCAAATGATTTCATTCTTCAAATATTTGAAGAGCTATCTCTGTAATTGAGCTTGAATAGTTTTAGAGAGTGTAACTGAAATAAGTAACTTGGAAAATACACATATGTATAAAAAATACACATAGTGTGCTCTCTTCCTTACATGTATACCTCCTTGCCCATGTACAACCCTGTAAACTAGCAGTGAGACACAAGGATATTTTAAGTCAGTGCAGTTCTAGTATCCACATTGAAAATATAGAAGCTTTAGTATAGACCTTCTTATGTACACAAAAATAAATTCCTGATGAGTTAAAAATCTTAATGTGAGAGGAAGAGGTCTCACTATACAGCTTAGGCTGACCTTGAACTTAGTATGTAGTCCAGGTTGGCCTTAAAAATGATTAAGATGTGATGTGTATAATTACCAGTTCCCCAAGATGAATGTAATTATGTATTACAAACATGTAGTAATAAAAAAAAGACCAAATTCAATAAATCAAAAAAATCTTAATATGGGGAAAATCTTCAAATCTGTAAAAACTATAAAAGAATAACTTCAGGTAAAGAAAGATTTTTTTTTTTTTATCTTTTTGAAACTGAGTCTCATTATGCACTACTACAAACTGGCCTTGGGCTCACTGTGTAGCCCAGGCTGGTCTTGAACTTGCAATGATCCACCTGCTTCAGCCTCCTGAGTGCTGGGATTATAGGAGTGCACCACCACATCTGACACAGAAAGATTTCTTAAATGAGAATGTGAAAGCACAAACCATGAGAGAGATTGGTTTATTTGATTACATTAAAAATAAAGTTACTTGAGTTTGATTCCTGGTGCCAAAAAAACCCCAAACAAAATTACCATACAAAAAAGATACCACAATTCATGTGAAAAGGCAAGCCACAAAATGAGAGAAAATACTTGCAACACATTTAGAATATACATATTCCATAAGAGTTCCATATATACATATATGGGAAGAATTACAGATCAATAAAGAGGTGATATTATAAAAGAAAGCATATCCTATGAACAGGCAAAGGGTGAACCTAATAGTTAAACTTATGAAAAGATGCAAGCCTTATTAGTAATCAGGTAAATAGAGATTAAACTAGAACTCCTGTTTTATGTCTGTCATACTAGTGAACATTGTGAAGACTGACAGTGTCTATTTGGTACTGCTACTTTAAAAAGTAATTGATGATAGCCCACAAAGTTGAAAATATGTATATCTGAGACCTAGCACAATAAATTGTTATTATTATTTTTGAGACAGAGTCTTGCTGTGTGGTTCGGGTAGCTTTGAACTCACAGTTTAGCACAGGATGGCCTCAAACTCACAACAATCCTCTTGCTTCAACTGCCCAAGAACTGGGATTACGAGTGTGCGCCACTAACTGCATAATGATACCCTATCTCTAACTACAGAGCAAAACAAAACAACTTTTAAATGAAATGTGTAGTCCTGTGAGATTCTGAGCTTTCTGTCTGAGTTACTTTTCCAGGAGTGCCTTAGAAAACAATTGTGATATGTATATGTATCCATTGTCTAAGGTGAACGAGATATGTATTGTGAAGCGAACATATACTAATAAAAAAGTTAGTATAGGATTTCTAAAAGAGGTATAGGGATTCTATATATTTTTTTCCTTTTTTCTTTTTTTTTGAGATAAGGTCTTGCTATACAGCTCAGACTGGCCTTGAACTTACTATGTAGTCCAGCTTGGCCTCAAACTCATGGCAGTCCTGTCTCAGCCTCCCAGGGACTGGAATTACGGGCATGTGCTACAGTGCCCAGCTCTAAGCAGTATGTTACATTTATTTGCTTTATTTATATATCAACAAAGATATTTTTTGAAAATCTTTTCTCTTATAAGAAGCTTGATCCCTTTAAACTTATACCCCTTGTAAACTAGAGTTTTAAAAAAATTTCATGTTTATGATACATAGTGATTACATTTACCTTAGGAGTTTTATACATATGTATGTTAGAAATTTGGGTAAATCACCATAAATCTTTTTTTTTTTTTTAATCAGTACCAGGGATCAAACTTACAATCACGCGCTTGCAAGACAGGCACTTAGGCTGCTGAGCTAAATCCCCAGCCCCAAATCACCATAAATTTTGTCTCATGGTATTAGTAGGATGCTTTTTTGTCTCTTAGGTGTTTCATAAACCTTATTACTTTTGTATTTGTGAGTTTTACTGATACATGGTGAATTTTCTGTGAATCCTGTAGGGTTATAAATTCTTCTTATTCATAAAAAATTATCTTTTATTTTATAGCTTGGTTTATGATTTGAACTAAATGCATTTTCTGTATTTAAAAGGTTATAATTTCTTTTGCTTCTATGTCTTTGTATGTTTCATTCCCACAGTATGAAATTAATCTTTTGGAGCTGATCCAGAGAAGAAGAAGAGTAAGTAGATAATTTTTTTAAAAGTTGGCTTTAAATACAGAATTAAGCAGTGTGGTTGCGTAGTTAGAACAGTTTGGCAGATGGCACTGATAAGTTGTGATGTGCTTATAATAGTTATTCATAATCGCTTCCTATGTTAGAATGATTAAACGATCTTGTGGGAATGCTATTTTGGGTAAATGTGATTAAATTGAAGGTTTGGTTTTCATGTCTCCTTTTAGCGCATTAAGTATTCATTTAAGAAGGATGAGATTGAGCATTCTATTGTGCAGCGGGTACAAGGTGTCTTCCGACGAGCTTCAGCAAGGTGGAAAGTAAGTGATCCAAGCATGTTTATGAGTTGTAAAGTCATGTACAGTATTACCCTTATTATGAGTTGGATATTCAAATGCATTGTTCTCTATTCTTGAGTGTCTTAAACTTATTTGATGATGGTATCATTGTTTGAAACACTTTTTGAGCCACTTAAATCATCTTATTACCTTATTGTTAATGTATGAAGGATGGGTTGAAAACAGTGTATTTGATATATAGTGAAGATTAGGAAATCTCCCAGGACATGTTTGGATATCTGTAGGTGAAGTACACTGAAGACTTGGGGTACAGTATAACATTATTAATAACATATTATTCAAACAGTGTGGGGCTTTGCGTATTAACCTGGGAAGTACTTTTGATTCCTGGGAATGACAATTTTTGTGTTTCTATACATGACTGAGATTTTTTTTAGAAGAGCACTAAACAAATGTCTTTCCAAACAACAAAGTTTGCCTTGAGCATGGTGGGCATAATTGGAGAGTCAGATGGAATTACTATGGTTAAGACATCTAAGACCTCGCTGAGGATCAGACTTATGGACTGAAGGGTGGTAACACAGTGATCTTCTTCACTGTTTCTAAGTTAATTAACACGAAAGTGTGTTATATGTAAAGTCAAATTCAGGCAGCTTACTGCGTTTCTCTTCTTGCAGGACGATGTTCAGCTTTGGCTCTCCTATGTAGTTTTTTGTAAGAAATGGGTGAGTAATGGGTATCTTTTTTTTCCCCTTTCCTTCTTTTTGTTAATCTGCCTTTTAAGCTTCACATTTTGTTTCTAAATTCTGTGTTTATTCTAGTGATACAGGATTTTAATAGGAAGAGAACCTAAAAAGACTGAAGTTGAATTCAGTGTAATATTTGTGTATCTAAGTTGCCATGTCGGTTGAAAAGAAAGTCATTTTTATGCATATTCGTCCAGTAAAATTTTACTTTATTTATTTATTTTTAAAGTTTTTGCAGTACTGGGGATTGAACCTAGGGCCTTCACCCTGAGCTATATCTCTAGCTTTCATTTATTTATCTGTTGGTTGGTCTGTCTACCTATTTATTGTGGTATTGCTAATCAAACCCATGGCCTCCACCTACCCCACCCCAGTTTTTACAGTTTTTTTTTTTTTTTTTTTTTTTTTTTTTAGATAGATTTTCTGCACTGTGTAGTACAGAATACTCTTGAACTTACTGTATATCCAGGATTGCCTTGAACTTCTGACAGTCGTTTTGAGTGCCAGAATGTCCCAGCCTTTTGAGTGATGGGATTATAGGCATGTGCCCCAATACCTGACCCTCCTCCTTTTTTTAGAAATTTAAAATAGGGTCTTGCTAAGTTGCTCAGGCTTGGCTCAAACTTGCCATCCTGCTAAGATTATAGTGTGCATCACTATTGCTGGGTCTTTTATTTTTATCTTGAGATAAGTTCTTGTTAAGTCACTGAGTTTCTGAGGTTGGGTTTGAACTTGGGCTTCTCATGCTTTAGGTTAAGGTGAGAAAATATTTTAAATGCTTTCGATTAGTGATTTCGATAAAAGACAGCTCTGTTTGTTGATATGTCCTTAGGAGTAGCTGATCTTGTCCCATTGAATTTTATATTTGGTGAGGGTATAGTACATAATGCATGCATATGGATAGTAATGATTTCTCTGTGCAGAAAAATAGAAATTTTTCTTTTTCTTTTACAGGCTACCAAGGCTCAGCTTAGCAAAGTATTCTCTGCCATGTTGGCCATTCATTCAAACAAGCCAGGTATGGTAAATTCTTACCAGTTTTTTCTCTATATTTTACTGAAACGCAAGCCATTTGGAATTTATTTCGCTTGATGAACCAAAGAGAAATTGTTTTGAGGACTTGATCTTAGGCAATTGTCTTTAGTGCCTTGTTCTTGAATAGGTACCTGTTACAATAGTTCATCCTTGCCTGGTGTGTACTGTTAGTTACTGGTTGAGTATTGTAGCTGCAGACAAGAACAACTTTCTTTTAGTTGGTAGAAAATAAACTTTTCAGTCTGTTGAGAGACTTTTTTTTTTGGACACAGAGAAATCTGAGTGATTTGAAATGTTTTAAAGGGGAAAATCTTGACACACATTTTGTTATCAAAACAGAAAGTTGACTAACACAAATAGGCCTGCATATTTTGTAAGTGAAAGACTTCTCTTGTGAGAAAGACAGTTAGTTATATAGTGGGGGCGCTGTAGTGGTTATTCTCAGGGTAGTAGGCTCAGTAGACACTTTATAGTACATAAGACCCAAATAGGCTACATTTGTCACCACCTTTCTCAGGGAGATACAGCAAGATAGCATTAGACCTATTTCCTGAACAGAATCCTCTCGGCAGTTTGGAGGTTTCCAGGGTGGCACTTCATAGTGTGAAAGGACAAGACCTCATGAGTGGCAGGGACACCATTTTACTTAGAAGCCCCATGGTTGGAGATAGCTTCCAGAAAGCCTAGGAAAGGTCCATGCTCAATTCTGGAGACACATGCTCAAGAAAGCCCAAAGCTCTCACCACCATTTAGCCATTTAGGTTCTTCCTACAAAATCCAGTTGTAGTTACCAGTGAAGGGTTATTATTATTATTATTTTGCCAAAAGCAGTCCTACCTGGTGAGAAGGCTGCCCTTTATTAACCTTCTGGGAGATAGCTAGAGTGTTAACATTAGGTTAATTTCCCACGTAGAAAGGCAAGTTTTTTTTTTTTTTTTTTTTTTTTTTTTAGTTAACTCTAAATATAAAGAAGTGCAGAAACAATTTATTGATTCTAAGAGTTTTTTCCAACATTTTATATCGGGTTCTGACCTAGATCCCCAATCTTCCAAATGAGTGTATGGCAGAGGCTTAAATAAAACGAGACAAGTTGTATGATTTTAGGGCTCCAGGAGGGTCAAAACCCTTTAGCTGAGCTCAGGACTCTGAGGGCTAAGACAAAGACTTCTCTGGACCACCCGTTTTTATTAGGTCCAACAACAAAGGGTGGGGAAACTAATGAAAGTGCAGGCAATGAGCAGGACCTTGGGAATCCCTTTAAGGACATCTTCAAGTAATGAATCATGTCAGTTTAGGAGAATCGTCTTATGAAGACATGGTAGGAGTGAGACAGTAGAAGTAATTCCTGCGGCTGTACTCTCTATCATCTTAATTGATGTTTGAGCCAAGTATCTCCAGCTGTGGCCTTATCTTGCCCTTTGAGGTCTCTCTGGCTCACAAGCCACTACAGGCCTCACCCAGGACCTGTGATTCATAGAGTTTCACTTACTATGAATCAGCTCCCATCATCAGGCAAGGGGCCGAAGCCAAGGACAGACTCTCAGATGGACATAGAGATCAATTAGTTAATTTTAAATCCTGCTCAGAGCCACTTCATAGTTGTTTCTAACAATTTTAAACCCTTTAAAATTTGTATGTGACTTAAAATAATTATGATGTCTTTAAATCTGGTAAAATACAGTAGCAGACACTTCTGTGTCCATTATCCAGAATGAATACATGTTAACATTTCCCTACTTACATTACACATACCTGCCTAGATAATTACCTGCTTAGAATATATTTTCTGGGGCTGGGGATTTCGCCCAGCGGCATAAGCACCTGCCTTGCAAGCAGGCAGTCGTGAGTTTGATCCCTGGTACCGATAAAAAGGAAAAAGACAAAAAAAAAAAAAAGAATATATTTTCTGCCTTTACGTAGAGGAGTAAAATTTTGTAATTAGAAACTCTATGCCCTTCCCCTTTAACTTAAAAAGATATTATCCTGGTGTAATTGTACATACCTGTAATCTCAGCACTCTGGGAGGCTCAAATAGGAGGATCACAAGTTTGAGCCCAGCCTGGGCAATTTAGTGGCTTAGTAAGACCCTGTTTCAAAATAAAAGGCCTGGGGATATAGCTCAGTGTAAAGGCCCTGGGTTTAGGGCTGAGGATTTAGCTCACTTGCATAAGTGCCTGCCTTGTAAGCAGGCAATCATGAGTTTGATCCCTGGTATACCCCCCCCCCAAAAAAAAAAAGCCCTGGGTTCAAATCCCCAGTACAGCAAAGACAGACAAAAATCCTTGCATCCTTGCATATTAAAGGTTGGAGCATTGGTTCATTTACTGAAATGAAGTCTGATATTTTTTCTTTTATAGCTTTGTGGATTATGGCAGCCAAATGGGAAATGGAAGATCGCTTGTCTTCAGAAAGCGCAAGGCAATTATTTCTTCGGGCTCTTCGCTTTCATCCAGAATGCCCAAAACTCTATCAGGAAGTGAGTGTGCTAAGTGTGATGGGGCACATCTGTAATCCCAGCTACTCCAGAGGCAGAGGGAGGAGGATTTGAGTTTGAGGCTAGTTTGGAGAATTTAAGGAAACCTTGTCTCAAAATAAAATAAAAAAAGAGTAAAGATACATAGCTTAGTGCTCCCTTGGATCAATTTCCACCCAGTATTATCAAAAAAAGTGATGAAGGAAGGCAAGGTTATAGTACATGTTTATAATCCTAGCAGTCAGAAGGCTGAAACAGGAAGATTGTAAATTTTTCTTTTTATTGTCTTTGTCTTTTTGAGGCAGGATCTCATTGTGCAGTTCAGGCTGGCCTTCAGCTCACTTTGTAGCCCAGGCTGGTCTTAAACTTGCAACAATCCTCCTTCCTCAGTGTCCCGGGTGATGGGATTACAGGTATGTGCCACCATGCCTGGCTAGGAGGATTGTAGATTTGAGGCCAACTCAAGATATGTAACAAGATCTTGTGTCAAAAAAAAAAAAAAAGAATGTGTTCACATAGGATGGTTGAGGGCAAATATTATTAAAATATATTTTCGTAGCCGGGCGTGGTGGTTCATGCCTGTAATCCCAGCACTTGGGAGGCCGAGGTAGGAGAATCCTTGGGAGTTCGAGACCATCCTGGGCTACAAAGTAGGCTCAAGGCCAGCCTGAACTGCATAGCGAGACCCTGTCTCAAAAAAGACCAAAAAAAAATTTTTTTTTTCTTTTTTCTTCCTGTTTCACAAAGTATTATTTGTGCTTCATAAAACTTTATTGCTTTTTTGAGATAGGGTCTCATTATGTAGTTCAGGCTTATGTAGCCTAGGTTGGTCTTGAACTTGTCTTGTCTAGCTTCCCAAGTGCTGGGATTACAGGCATGTGCCACCATGTTACCACCTTTAAAAAAAATGGTAAAATAATAGTAGAATTATCATATATCATTACTAAATTATTGCTAATTATCTTATAGCTATATTGACAATCTGTTTCTTTTATAATACATTTTCTTTTTCGTATCGGAAATTTAGGTTATTTCCAGCATTTCCTCCAATCCTTTTATACATGAAAGTTAAATACTTTCATTATTATAGGATTCCTGGAGGCAGATTTGTTGGCTTAAAGGATATCAACCTAAAAAATGTTTTTATTTTTTTTTTTTTGAAAATGTTTTTAAATTTAATTTTTTTTTTGCAGTACTGTGGAACTGAAGATTCAACCAAGGGCTTTTGTACTAAGCTACATCTCCGGCACTTTTTTCATTTTGAGACATGGTCTCACTAAGCCCCTAAATTACTGAAGCTAGGTTTGAATTTGGGGTTTTTCTGCCTCAGACTCCTGGGGTGGTGGAACTCCAAATGTATGCCACCACACCTTGTGATATCACTGCCTCTTGATTATCTTTTCATTTAAGTTGAGATTGCCCTGTTTTTATTTATTTTTTAATTATTTTGAAGATAGTAAAATACAACAGAACAAGACAGAACAAAGCCAATTGAGACAGTGTAGTGAAATCGGTACAGAACTTCACAGTAGGTTCCTGGGATAACAGTAATAGGTATCACAGTATATCTCGTTATTTTCACAATAGTTGTTCTTTCAATCACATATAGCAAAATAAAATGAAGTACAGAACATTATAGAACTTACCAAAACAGAATATTGAATAGAACAGTACCATTAATCAGAATAAAGTAAAACAGTAGTAAAAATATTTGCCTTCAAAAAGATGGTAGAAAATCCCCCTTATTTGCTGTATTGCACATGGTCAGCCTCCCAAGACATGTTCAGATCTCTGGTTCTCATTTGCTAATGGGGGGTGGGGCAGAGGAAGTGGGATGTTTGATTCTCAGCCCATGCACCGGTACGTTCCAGCATGGCATGGGTCTCAGGAGATGCTGGTGGTTCTTCCCCTGGGGTAGCTGCAGCTTGCCCTGTTTTTAGTATGATGAATGATTTTTTTCATTGAACCTTAGACATTTTAATTATTTTATGACATTCTGGAAACTTTAAATTTTGTGTGGTAGATTGCTTTTGATGCTGTTTGCTTTTAGATAGATGAGAATGGGATTCCAGATTCTTCTCAGCCTTGGTTGATACTTTGACATATATTATGTCACAAATGAAATTATTTATAGAAATATTCATCATTCGGTGACAAACTTACCTACTTCCTGATTATAGCATGTTTGTTGCTTCTCTCAGGCAACTAAGCACCAGATTCTATGTTTTGTTTAGTTGTGAAGTGGTAAACAAAGATGCAAAATGGGTGTGTGTGTGTGTGTGTGTGTGTGTGTGTGTGTGTGTGTGTGATGGCGCTGAAGACTGAATCTGTGGCTCTCTACCACTGAACTACATTTCCAGCCTTGTGCCTCAGCCTCTTGAGTAGCCAGGATTACAGGCATGTGCTGCTCGGTATCTGTTCCCAGCTTTCTTGGCATGTCTTTTGCCCATAAAATGAGTTGTTGTTTATGACTCTTCAGATTCTAGTGCTGAAAGTAATTTTGTTTTTCAGTATCTGACTGTATTGTTCATAAATTATTTTTGTCTACCTGGAGCTACTTGCATTCAAGAGGGTACCCCTTGCTTTCACAGGAAGTAAGAAATATGAGTTAGTTTGTTTCTTGGATATTTCCAGGGTTTTGGTAAAGGATTAGGTTGTGCTTTTTCTCTATTTCCTCTATTTCTCTATTTTCCTCTATTTCTCTATTTCCTCTATTTCTCTATTTCCTCTATTTCTCTATTTTCTCTATTATAGGAATATCAGAGCCCCATTATAATTAGGCTGCCCAGGGCTCATGGAGTCTGGAGTAGTTATAGATAATACTTATTTGAGACTTAATTTGAAAGTTGGCAGCTATCAAAATACTCTTTATTTTTTTAAGCTTTTTAAATGATTCTTTGTTGTTATATTTGTTGGTACTAGGGATTTAACTCATGACTGCGTGGTTGCAAGGCAGGCACTTACGCTGCTGAGCTAAATCCCCATTTTAAATTTTTAAAATAAAAACATTCTTAAGAGTTGATTTACAAAAAAAAAAAAAAAAAGGAGGGCTGGGGATTTAGCTCAGCAGCATAAGCACCTGCCTTGCAAGCAGGCGGTTGTGAGTTCGATCCCTGGTACCGATAAAAATGAAAAAGACAAAAAAAAAAAAAAGAGTTGATTTACATCTCTAGATGGCTTGGCAAGAAGAGCATAAAATAATACCATTCTCATCACACTTGTCAGTATCTATTAGTTTCTTAACAAAGTAAACTATGAGTCTCTCAGGCTTTACCAAATCCAATATTTATGGGTTAAAATAATGGCATTTTAAGTATTTTTTAATTAAGGTACTTTTAAAGATTTTCTCGTCATTATTTCCTTTTTATTTTGGTTTTCATTATTTTTCTTCTGTAGTACTTCAGGATGGAGCTGATGCATGCTGAGAAACTCAGGAAGGAAAAACAAGAATTTGAAAAAGCTGACATGGATATGGTAAGATCTAATGTGTTGTCACTCAGACGACACAGTGTCTTCTGAGCCCATGTAGGATTAAGAGTTTTTGAAATATATTTTTCCTTCTAATTTACTGTTGAAACTTAAAGATGAAGTTAGAGTTGTAGATATTCTTAGTAAATACAAAATAAAGTTTTGTACTTTAAATATAACTGCTTCGGGTAGTTAGTGTCTTCAACATTACTACTAATGGAATGATCAAATGATGTTAATACTGTATGATCCTAACGTGATGTATTAAGGGATTCATGGAGCCTGAGTTAGATTGTAAAATGTGTATTTTCTAGCCTTTTTTAAATACAATTTTTAATTTGAAGAATAGTGGTTTTGTTGTTGTTGTTGAAGTCTTTTTTTGAGACAGGGTTTCACTGTGCAGTTCACACTGGCCTTGAACTCACTTTGTAGCCCAGGCTGGCCTCGAACTCACAGGTGTGCACCATCATGCTTGCCTGGAGGAATAGCTTTAAGACAACAAAGTCTAGAATGTTAGCGCTAAAGAAAACCTTGCTGGTATATATTATTGTGATCTCCAGCTCAGATCTTTGTTTGTTTGTTTGTCTTTTTCCTTTTTTTAATCGGTAGCAGGGATCGAATGTTTTTGTTTTTTTAATCCAAATAAAATCTTACACAGAAGGTAATCAAAGCATGTAAAACTTGACCCACTCTGGTCTAAATGGAGAGTGAGGCTTTAGGCCAGGTGATCTTACCACCATTCCAGAGCCTGAGGGAACATAGCTGGAAGATAAGTCATCTCACCTAAGGTGCATGTTTTACAGGTGAGGGAACTGGTTCAGAGAGAGACATGATTTGCTGGAGATTATATAACATGAGTAGTTAGGACTGTTAACATTTGTACTAGTGCTTTTTCTATTTACTGGCACTATCTGTTAAGTTTTATATAATGTAACTTTTGTAGGGAGATTTTGAACATCCTGAAGAAATTCTTAAGGGCGAGTTGGCACGGATCGTTTACAAAAATTCCATAAGCAAGATTAAAGGTATGTATGTTTTGAATATTGTTTTGTGGTAGGAAAGTGAAACATTCTATTTATTTATTTATTTTTTACGGTACTGGGGATCGAACTCATGACCTTGTGCTTGCCAGGCAGGCACTTATGCCACTGAGCTGAATCCCCAACCCGAAACATTCTATTTATAATGAGGAGAACTATTAGCTAATTTTGAGATCTTCCACTAGAATATTTTTAAGACTGTAGTAGGTTGGGCATGATGGCAGATGCCTGTAATCCTGATTTTCCTGAAAGGTGAGGCAAAAGGTCACAGGTTCAAGCCCAGGCTGGGTAATTTAGTACTTTAGCAAGATGCTGTCTCAAAATAAATTTAAAAAGTTATCAAAATATAGCCTGATATGAAAACCTTGGGTTTAGTGCCCAGGGCCTACAACACAACACAAAACACTGTAGGAATTGTGTACTGTATTTTTCAGAGAAAGCTTATTTTTTAGGTGACAATTGAGTGTTTCGATTAAGTTTTTGAGTATTCTTTCGGGGAGCTGGAATAAATGATTTAGCTTTGTATGCCTTTAAGAACTTTAAAAGGCAGAATATTTATGAATGCTACAAAATACTGTGTTAATGATTTTGTTGTTAGGTGACTTATCTCCTCATTTTGTTATATTTCTCAAGAACAGATAAACAATCAACTCTAGCTCAAGGTTATGTGATTTTAGCATGTTAGGACTTGGATTCTGTCCCCAGCACCAGAAGGAAAAAAGCCTAATCCTAATACATCAAGAAAATGATACTTTTGGAGTAAATTGGTTGTTTAGCTTACTGACGATGAATCTTCTTTCTCTTGCTTTTTAAATTTTAGGTGCAGAATTTCATGTGTCACTACTTTCAGTTGCACAGCTTTTTGATTTTGCCAAAGATCTACAAAAAGAAATTTATGATGAGTAAGTAAAACAGTATAAAGATGACTTTACCCATTTCTGATCTTTGTAATAAGGATTTGAGGTTGGGTATTGAGAAGGAAGGAGAGGAGATATTATACTCTAAATCCCTGGAGGAAGAGTTTCAGGGAAATTATATCCGATTATGTTAAAAAAAAGTATTTTCCTGAAGTTTTTGACTTATTTATTGGCTGTTTTTGGGAAATGGTTTGTCTTTATTCAATAATATATCCTAAATCTTATAGAAAAACCTGTATCCTGCTTCCTTGGCATGTCTTTTGCCCATAAAATGAGAGAGTTATTATTCATAACTCTTCAGATTTGAGTGCTGAAAGTAATTTTATTTATCTATTTTGAAAAAACAATTTTTTGGTCTTTTTGAGCCAGGATCTTGCAGTGCAGGTCAGGCTGGCCTTCACTGCACTTTGTAGCCCATGCTGGCCATAAACTTACAGTAGTCCTGCTTCAGCCTCCTGAGAGCTGCAATTATAGGCGTATGCCACTGCACCTGGCAGTAATTTTATTCTTCAGTATCTGATAATGTCTACGAATTATTTTTGAATACCTGGGGTTACTTGCAGTCAGGGGGCCCCCCTTGCTTTTACAAGAGATAAGACAGAATATGACCACTTTGCCCCTTTGGTTTCTCCAGGGTTTTGGAAAAATATTAGGTCGTGCCTTTTCTCTTCTTCCATTATTAGAGAAAATCAGGAACCCCACTATAATAAGGCTATTCAGGGCTCATGGTGCCTGGGGTAGTCAGAGATAACAGCTGATTTGACTTAATGTGAAATTTAGCATGTGTGAATGGTGCCTGAAAAATCAGTACATGAAAGCTGTTCCACTGACTGGGTTGTGCATTGACTGACAGTATTCTGGAGAGAGCCTGTCAGGAAACGGCTCTCCTGGTGCCAGAACTGTAAGGGTGTCCTGTGCAGTTTTAGAGCATGAGGAGTTGCTTTTGCGTTAGGTATTGAGTCAGTCTCATTGTAGGGCGGGTGCCAGTAATTTGTGTTTTGCAGCCTTCAGGCTCTACACACAGATGACCCCCTCACTTGGGATTATGTGGCACGGCGAGAACTAGAGATTGAGTCCCAGCCAGAGGAGCAGCCTTCAACAAAACAAGCCAAAGCAGCGGAGGTGTGCCGAAGGGAGGAGAGGTGCTGTGCGGTGTATGAGGAGGCAGTGAGGACTCTGCCTACAGGTGAACTCTGTACCCATCATGTGTAGAAGTGTATCTGTGAGTGTGAGACTGGTGCTCCTGACCTCACGACCAGAAATCTCTTCCAGCTGGTTCTTTCTGTGATGAAACTTCGACGCACTTCTTCAGTAATAGTGAGGTTTATGTGCATTTATTTGGAAGAAATGATATTTAAGAAATAATTCAGAAGGTGGTGTTTATTTAAAATGCAAAGGAGAGAACCTAAGGCCTTGTGTTCGCGCAAAAAGTGCTGTAGTGCTGAGCTAGATCCCCAGCCCTATTTATTTTATTTTGAGACATGGTTTTGCTAAGTTGCCTACGCTAGCCTTGGGTTTGAGATCTTCCTGCTTCAGTCTCCCAAATTTCAGGAATTGTGGGTGTGCACCACCATACCTTGCAGAAGATTCTGTAATTGTTGTTCCTTGATTAGCTTTTGTTAGAGATTTTTTGTTTGCTAATATTGCAGACTAAAGGTCAAGTGAGCACAAAACCTGGAGATGTTTGGTTGGGTATAATTGGAATAACACTTTCCTATCAGGGAGTAAAACTTCCTCAGGAGTTTTCCCTTTGAAGAAAAGGTGTATGATGATTGTTGACCTAAGAGGATTGGTGACCTGACAAATGCAATCTGACTCTTCCAGAGGGCATGTGGAAGTGTTACATCAACTTTTGCTTGGAACGATTTTCTAAGAAGACGAGTAGTGAGTTCCTCAAAAGGAAGGTAATGATTTACCACTGACTTCTGTTACATGGTTATAGTAACTGACTAGAGAGTCTTTTGTCTACTGAAAAATAACAGAAGCCTAGCTCTTTTGGATTGTGAGCCAGCCTCTGGAATTGCTTTCTCTTTCTCCTTGTGACTATCCTGTTGTGAAGATAGAAGGTTGGCTTGTCCTGGTACTGGTCAGCAGGGCAGGAGAGGCTCCTTTGCACTGCACTGTGCCTGGGTTAGCCATTAGGCTGATAGCACCTCAAGGAGCAACTCCGTCCCTTCTCTGCATTCTCAGAAATGTACAAAACTACTTTTTTTAAATGTCGTGAACAGAGTCCCTTGCAGGGATCCTTGTAATGAATTGGGGGAATCTTTTCTTATTTCAGAGGCTGGAAAGAACCATGATTACATTTAGGAAGGCACATGAACTCAGACTTCTCTCAGAACTCCACTACACGCAGTGGGTAAGCACTGGGAGAGCATATTTGTTGCCAGTTATGTGCACTTATTCCTGTTGTTCTGTGCTAGTTGCATAGGTAACCCCACTTAAGGGTTTGGTGTGTAGAGGCTGTTTACATTTAGTTGTCAGTATTTGATGGAGGCCAAAAGTGAAGCCCGTTTTTGTATTTGTTTTGAGACAGGCTTTCAATATGTGGTTCAAGCTGACCTTAAACTCCCCATGTAGCCTAGCCTAGCCTTGAGCTTGAAGCAACCCTCCTGCCTCAGCCTTCCAAGTGCTGGGATTACAGGCATACATCACCACACCCTGCTCCTAAAGGAAATCTGTGAAGTACAGGATATGTAGTGGAGAGCACTGCAACAGTCTTGAGTCTAGGTTTGTTTGTTCGCTCATCCTTTATTTATTGACAGTCACGAGGACTGAATCCAGGGCTTTGTACATGCTTGGCAAGTGTTCTAGCACTGAGCTACACCCTCAACCGTATCCACCCACTTTTTGTTTTGAGACAGGATTTTGCTTTGTAGTTGAGGCTGGCCTTGAACTTTGACTTGTTCTGCTTCAGCTTCCTGTGTGGAGTGATTATAGCTGTGTGTCACCACAATCACCGCTTTCTTTGCTTGTTTTTAAAACATTAATAGTGTTCCTTGGTTTTGCCTCCTTACAAAGTGGCTGAACACATTACATGGGTTAGTGCATTTGTTATCATATTCAAATACATTTATTGGGGGGAAAATCAAGAGTCTCTTGGAGGCCTCCTGTGTGCTGCCCAAGCACTCTTAACACTGAGCTTTGGCCCACAAACGAAAGTCCTATTTTTCAAGTGTCTGTTGTGTGACTTTTTTTGACTCTATGATTGTTTTTACTCTTTTAATGAATATCATTTTTATTTACTTGGAATTAATGTCTTGTTTTTATTCTATTTATACATTAACATTTTCTACATAATTTTTATTTATTGTATACTACATAGTATAGCCTATTTTGTCATTTTACTGATCTATCCTCCCCATTACGGCAGCTGTCTGAGAACAATCATAGGCTTGCATCTGTCCCTTCTTGAACTTTGAATGCTGGCAGAGCAGTCACCCTGTAAATGGCAGTGTCCTCTTGAGTGCTGCCTTGTAGTCCTGTTATTCTTCCGTTCTCTTTCTTTCATTCACAGTTGTGACTGTTTCTAGTGTTCTCAAATACTTAACTCTCTTGCCTTTCCTGAGCCCACTCACTGTAGTAATCATTTGGTGATCTTGCATTTATTTATTCATCCATTTATTTTAAGGAGAATATCCTCTAATTAATTAGACATTCAGACTACCAGACATAGACATGCAAAGTCAGTCAAACAATACAAGCACTAAGTTGTTTCTTTACTGCAGTTGCCATCATTCCAGAAATTTCAGTGTGTGGCTTTTAATTTCTTCTATGTTTATGCTTCCTGGACTTGTTCTGAATGAGATATAGGCATGCAAAATCAGTCAGACAATATAGCACCAAGTTGTTTCTTTGCTTTGGTTGCTGTCATTTCAGACATTTTAGGTGTGTGACTTCTAATTTCTTTTGTGTCAGTGTCTCCTGGACTTTTTCTGGGGGAACTGAGGTCTGAGATTGTACTTTTTGCTTCTTCGCACCTTGCTCCTCCTTGTCTTGACATTTTCCTGTGTTCCTACATATCAGCCAGTTGCTAAGTCTTGGATGATTTCTGCGCTGTCTGCACTGCCTGTCCATCCTGCTGTGCAGGGGACTGGGTCAGGTACTGGGATCCTCCCATCTGAGGCTCCTGGGGTTGCAGAGAGGTGCAGGGTGGAGGTCCACCTACACTCCCCTGGTGATGCTGGAGCCCTGGGGATGGCCTTTCCTTCTGGCTCATCAAGGGTGTGACTTCCTCTCTTCCAGGTACCCCCCACCCCAGGCTCATAACGGCAGGGTCTGAGGTGAGAGGCTGTTTCTCTGCTGCTTATCACTCTGCCATCTTCCTGGAAGTCCTGGATTCTCTTTTCTATCCAAGTGGTCTCTCATCTTGGCCTCTTGCACATGTTGGTTGGGATGGCTGCTTTTCCTAGGGTGTCTATGTTCACCTAACTAGTGCCTGTTTTCCCTTCAGTCTTGGTTTCAGTGTGTCCTTTTTAGGAGTCCTTTCTTTCTTTTTTTTTTTTTTTAATTTTTTTTTGGTCTTTTTCGTTTTTATCGGTACCAGGGATCGAACTCATGACTGCCTGCTTGTAAGGCAGGCGCTTATGCCGATGAGCTAAATCCCCAGCCCCCTAGGAGTCCTTTCTTGTCATTGCCACAGACCTTGTTGTGCTTTTGATTTGTACTCCTGTAGCATGTGATGCTTTTTCTTCATGGCACAGATCACATTGTGTCTTCTGTTAGACTGGGTGGTAGGGAATGTGCCTGATTTTCTCATAATTGAATTTTTTTTTTTAAGACAAAGCCTGACTGTAGTTCATGTGGGTCTTTTTTTGCTATTTTTGAGACATGGTGTCAGTATATAATTATGGCTAGCTTTAAACTCACTAAGTAGCCCAGGCTGGCCTCACACTTGGCAGTGATCCTCCTACCTTGGCCTCCTGAGTGCTGGGATTACAAGCGTGCACCACCATGCCTAGCAATTCAGTCTGGTTGAACTCACTGTGTAGCCTAGGCTAGACTCAAACTTACAGGAATCCTCCTGCTTCAGTCCCCCTGGTGCTGGGATTGTAGAGGGTGTGCCACACACAGAGCTCATAATTGCATCTTGTGCATCATAGGGTATAGTAGACGTGCTTGCTAAATGAATTCATTGCATATTGCCATTTGTTTGCTTTTTTAGTTTTGTAGAATTATAGTGGTTTAGGTTTTTTTTTCTTTTTCAGTATTTAAATAGTATAGAAACAAGTGTTGTGAACAGATAAGGTTTTTTCATTTAGCCAGGAATGGTGATGGTATGCGTATGATCCCAACATTTGGAAGGCTGAGGCAGGAAGATCACCAGGTGTTTGAGGCCATCCTGGCTACATGGTGAGTTTAAGACCAGCCTGAACTACATTGTCTCCCAAAAAAAAAAAAGAAAGGAAGATTGATTATCTTCATTTATTTGTTGGGCCACAGTTGTTACATTTCAAAATTTATTAGCTGAACCCTTTTCATAATTCTAGTTGCATATGTCAAATTACTTAATAGAAAAATTATATCAGTTTATAATGCTTCCAGCCTATTTGTTTTTGTTTTATTTTTTAAAGTCCATTTTATTCAAGGATAAAAAGAAGGAAAAAAAATTACAATAAGGTTTCAAAACATGTCAATCGGAGGCAACAGTGGTACATACATTGCACACGGTTACCCCCAAATCATTCATCCAGAGCACAGGACAACTGCATTCAATCGTCTGAACAGTATCCAGCCTTATTTGAATGAATGTATATGTAATATTTCCTTACTGCTGCACAAAACTTCTTTTCTCCCCGGGACCTTTGTATTGAGCTGCATCCCCAGTCCTTTTTTGTTTTTAATTTTAAGGCGGTGTTTTGCTAAGTCTCGGAGCTGCCAGAGCTGGGCTCAAATTTGTAATCCTCATGCCTCAGCCTCGTAGGTACCTGGGATTACTGTATATGTGTGTGCCAGCACATCTGGCTACGGATTCTGATTTTATCTTGATTCTCATGCTCAGGTAGATTTGGATACTAGTCTAAATTATTTAGACCTGTTTTTTTTTTTTTTTTGTCTTTTTCCTTTTTACCGGTACCAGGGATCGAACTCACAACTGCCTTCTTGCAAGGAAGGCGCTTATGCCTCTGAGCTAAATCCCCAGCCCCTCTGTTTTTGTTTTTGACAGTCCATATGGATAGAACCAGGGAAAGGAGAAGGAATTTCAAAGTTTTCCTTTCTGCCTGCTTAGCATCATGGTAAAAGGTATATAATAGAAAGGCTGTGGAAATTACTGCCTCAAATGAGGCCTTTATTTGTCTCTATTTAAATAAGTAACTTTGGCTTCAGAATTTTAATTTTTCAGTGATCATTTTCTTAGATTGAGTTGTTGCTGCGACGTGACCTTTTTACGGAAGCTCTGGAGGTGGCAGAAACTGGGACTGAATTGTTCAAGGACTCTGTGACGATGTGGCAGAAGAAGCTGCAGGTGCTGATTGAGTCCAAGAGCCCAGATATAGAGAAGAGTTTTGAAGAAGCCTTTGTGCACCTGAAACCCCAGGTCTGTGAATTGAGCTTATGCATTTCATTCCCTTTTAAGACTGTTGTCAGGGGCTGGGGAAATAGCTCAGTTGCACAGCGCTGGCCTGGCATGTACGAGGTCATGAGTTTGGTTCCCAGTGCTAAAAAAAAAGAAAAAAAGAAAAAGAAATAATTTAGCCAGAGCTCATTTGTAATGCATTTGTCTGACAAAGGCAGTGGCATTATTACTAAGTAGTGATTGTTGAAAAGTAGAAGAATTTTCTTCTATTTAATCACCTATTTCAGATTCTTATTTGAAAATTGAGTAAATTGTATAAAATTTCCTATTCTGTTTAGTTGTATCTATAGGTGAGAAATAGTATTTCTTGCTTGGGACCCAAAGCTGAATGTAAATCCTATTTTAATCACTAATGTATTTCCAACTCATGAAATTCTTTTTATTTATTTATTTATTTATATCACCATCTAGCTAGGTTGATAATAAAGTTCTTTTTTAGAGGTACTAGGAATTGAACCCGTGCTAGACAAGTGTTATCCCATTGAGCTGTGTGGCCATCCTTTGTCACTTGGAGATAGGTTCTCACTAAATTACCCAGGCTGGCCTTAAACTTGCCATCTTCCTACTCAGCTTCCTGAATAACTGAGATTACAGGAATGACCACCACTCCCACTTTAAAATCTTAAAGTTTAAATTTTAAAGCTTTATTATAAATTTTTTCTGTCAGTGAGAAAAAAAGTAATGTGGAAAGAAGTATTTTTTTTTCCATTTGTGTTTGCCCCTGGGACATAAGTAATCAGATCATTTGACCTAGATTGGTTAGTGCTTGTGTTAAGTGTTATAGACAAGAGAGACAGGATCCGCCTAGCTGTGGGTCTGATAATTAATTGCTTATAATTGACTGAAAAGTGATTGAGGATGACACATTGGCAAATATGGCGCACAGGCAGCTGTTTATTATGAAAGGTTTGCCATCACTGATGACAGCTGCAGGTGGTAGGCCCCAGCAGAACGGAACTGACATATCAGGACAGTGTTGCTCTGGATGAGTTAGTTCCAGGGCTGTCTGTGCTATGGCATTCCATTCCTGCCGGGCAGTGAGAATTCTCTCCTGGTACTTGGAATTGAACTCAAGACCGCCTGCTTGCAAGGCAGGTGCTTATGCCGCTGAGCTAAATCCCCAGCCCCTCTGAATCCATATTTTACATATTGATTAATTTAGGAGGAACCTGTCTTTGCAGTGGTTAGTTTTTCAGAGTTTAGTGCATAATAGTCATTTTGTAACTTTTTCTTTTTATCACCAACAGGTGTGTCTGCCCTTGTGGATTTCTTGGGTGGAGTGGAGTGAAGGTGCTGAAAACCAAGAAGACACAGAAGCTATTTTTAAGGTACAGACTTCATATTCTGAGGCCTGTGTGAGGAATCAGTACAGGGCTCACCGGCTGGCAGGTTTCAGGATTATTTCAGCAGCAGATGTCCCTAAAGCGCTCTTCTGTAGCCTGGGATGGTTCCGGGAGAGTCTGTTTTGATAATGTATGCATTTCCTTACATGGCTTTTTTTTTTTTTTTTTTTTTAATTGTAGAAAGCTATTTTGGCTGTCACAGGTGCCAGCTCAGTAACTCTGAAAGATAAATACCTGGACTGGGCTTATCGAAGCAGTGGCTACAAAAAGGCCAGAGCTGTGTTCAAGAGGTACTGACAGATTTTCCTAGCTGTTTCTAGTCTTTGTGGCCCATACTCAGTCCCTCATACCTATAGTATGTGCAGTATATAGACTGTGTGAAGTAAATAATCTGAGAACCTTTTCAAAAAGTGACATTTTTGGGGCTGGGGATTTAGCTCAGCGGCATAAGCCTCTGCCTTGCAAGCACACGGTCGTGAGTTTGATCCCTGGTACCAATTGAAAAAAAAAAAAGTGACATTTTTCTTCTCTTTCCCTTTTATTCTCTGTGTCTTGCTGTCTGCTGTCTTTTTTTCTTTATAAATAATAAAAGGTTATAACCATGGGGGGGATAAATAAATTCATTGTAATCCCATTAAGGAAAAACCACTGCATAATATAGCATCTTAAAATTTATTTCATATGTAATTGAGAACTATAATCACAATTTTGTATTCCAGTTTTACAGATGAACATTAGACTGACCTTTTCCTCCTTCAGTAAAAATCCTTCATAAGTATCATTTATTAAAAACAGTCGTGTAAGAAACCATCCTGTGAATATGGCATAATTTCCTGGACTATAGTAATACTCCTCTGATGAACATTTCTGTTGAAATATTATTTGTCCACACTGGAAATTATTTCTTTAGATTATATTCTTAAAAATGGAATGACTAGTCTCCAAAAAGGCCATGCATGACATGTAGGTAGTGGTACTTAAGACCCTAAATGTGAGAAAGAAGACAGTAAGAACAGTGAGTGGGGAACACTTAAGGTGAAGGGTCAGTCACTAGTGTCATAGGCACAATTGGCCAGTAGGCCCACACTGAAGCCCTGCCAAGTCCTTCATAAGCCACCTGCTGTGCAAGTATTGGCCTGGGTATTTTTTATACTTACGAGATGCAAGAGGCTTTCTCTCACCGTGGAACATAACATCCCCTGCTTCTTTTTAGTTTACAGGAAATTCGTCCATTTTCAGTGGATTTTTTCAGGAAAATGATCCAGTTTGAAAAGGAGCAAGTAAGTGCTTCAGAAATTTCAGAAACTCCTTATAATCCTATATAAATATTTAGCCCCTGATCTCTTTTTCATAGTGCTAGAGGTAGCGAGAAAGATGCGCAGGTACATGGCTGGAGAATCAAAAATGCGGATGTAACCTCTTTCAGGAGCCTTCCCTGCTCAGCTGCTGAGGTGCTGCTGCTCCTGATTTGCTTCCATCGTGCCTTCTTCTTCTCTTGTCTTGGGTGCTGCAAGCGCAGCAAGCATTCATTTACTGGTTTTGGTGTTTTTAAATGGAACTTGTGGAGTAGGAGAAAAGCCAAGAAAGTTTCAGACAAAAAAATAGTACGCAAAAATTTCATCCCTGTCTAACCCCATCACCTTAACACAGCCAACCATGGCCTGGGTGCTCCCTTCCCCAGTGCTGGGGATTGAACCCAGGGCTTTTGCCCTGAGTTACACACACAGTCGATTTTTATTCTTTTTTTTGGTAACAGGGCTCAAACTCACAACCTTGTGCTTGCTAGGAAGGTGCTTATGCTGCTGAGCCAAATCCCCGGCCCCAATTTTCTTTATTTTTTAATTTTTAATTTTTTCTATGTTTTTTGTCTTTTTTGAGAGGGGGGTGGTCTATGCAGTTCAGGGTGGCCTTGAGCTCACTTTGTAGCCCAGGCTAGTCTCGAACTCGCAACGATCCTTCCACCTCAGCCTCCCGAGTGCTGGGATTATAGGCGTGAGCCACCTTGCCCAGCTACTATTCTTTATTTTGAGCCAGGGCTTGCTAAGTCACTGAGGTTTGAATTTGAGATCCTCTTGTTTCTTTGCTTCTCAGGGCACTGGGATTACAAGTACCTGGCTCATACGTGGTTTTGTGCTGTTATATTCTTGATTTAGGTGTAATGTGGGGGTCGGTCTCTCTCTTTTTTTTAAGAACATTATTTTGTAAACATTCCTATATTTTTACATGTTTATTGTATTTTTTTATTGTAGCGTTAAAGTTTTAGTTTTGTATCTATTCTATTATATATAGATTAATCCAGTGTTTTTTGGGATACAGGTTATTCAGTTTTTATTTTGAAATAGGGTCCTACTAAGTTATGCCTGGGCTGGGCTTGAATTTATGATCATCTTGCCTCAGCCTCTTAAAGAGTGCTGGGATTATAGATAATATGCTACTACACTTGTCTATTAATTTTTTTGATATTGAAAATAATGCTACAGGCATTTTTGTGCAATTTTTTTCTTTTGAGTTACTTTTCTGACATAAATGTCAATATTGAGGATACTTTATTGTTTTTTATTTTTATTTTTTATTTTTTGAGATAGGATCTTCCTGTGTAGTTGAGGTTGGCCTTGAACCCACTGTGTGGCCCAGGCTGGCCTCAAACTCACAGATCCTCCTGCCTCAGCCATCCAAGTGCTGTGATTACAGGTGTGTGCCACCAAGCCTGGTGGGTATGTTTTTATGGTGTCATGTATTTCATAATTGTCTTTTAATTACTCATAATCTGGAAACATGCCTGTTTCCTCATAGCTTTTCATGTGTCCAGTTTTTTTTTTCTTTATTAGTGTTTTACTTGGTATTTGTTATCTTTATTTGAATTTTTAAAAATTGCTATTGAGGTTCAATTCCACACTTTATGATTTTGATCACTGTTGTTTGGCCAAGTATCTGTCATTTTCCATAGTACAGTTTTAAAGTATAGGAAATGTATTGATATAATGTTCAATAGCCAGACTTTGAATTATTACTTAAGTTAGGTACCGTGGGCACATTATTCAATTCTTACCCTTACATCCTCATCTACAAATAAGGTCCTTACACCTGTTTCAGGGGTGTGAGAGTTAGAAGGCCTAATGAGAACCTGGGTAGAAAGGACTTTGTATGGTGTCTTGTACATTATGAACCCTCAGCAGAGTATGATTTTGTTTTTTAAGCATGTGAAGTTAAATTGACTTCATATAATATTATGTAGTCTAGTAAAGGGAGATCTGAATAAGGAAAATCTTTTTTTGGGTACCTGGATTTGAACTCAGGATCTTGTGCTTACCAGGTAGGTGATATGTGTGGCAATCTTTTTCTTTTTGTGGTAGTACTAGGGAAGTAATTATCTTATGTGAGGTTTTAAACTGGAAGCGTTAAATCTACTTTGAAAATGAAATAAAAGAAGGGGAGATTTAGCTCAGCAGCATAAGTGCCTGCCTGGCAAGCGCAAGGTTGTGAGTTCAGTCCTCAGTACCAAAAAATAAAAAGAAAGAAAGAAAATGAGGGGCTGGGGATTTAGCTCAGTGGCATAAGCACCTGCCTTGCAAGCAGGCGGTTGTGAGTTCAATCCCTGGTCCCGATAAAAATGAAAAAGACAAAAAAAAAAAAAAAAAAAAAAAGAAGAAGAAGAAAATGAAATAGAAGGGAATACATTTTAAAAACATATAAAGAATTACTAGTTCTTATCTGTGGGTTAGTGGCAGTGCATAGCTAGCTATTCTGCTAGGTACATTCAGCATTGAATACTTGCAGTTGTGCTGAGAGATATTATTCTTATTTTCTAGGTGAGAAAATATTTAAAGTCAGAATTTTAAAAAAACCTTGCTGAAGATTATAAAACTAGTGGTTACTGTACTTAACATTGATATAAAAACTTTTTAGATAGACACAACTAACTTGTGCCAGAGCTTAGATTTGGGCTCTTCTTTGTTACTCAAAAAGAAGAAACCTTTAGCCACGGGGAGGAGTAAGACTTTCTCCATGGATTTTATTTTCGTTTTTCTGTGTCATGGAGATTGTGCCCATGACCTCAAGCATGCTAGGCAAGTGCTCTACCACTGAGCTACACCCCCAGCCCTTGTTTTGTTTTTGAGACAGAGTCTCAAAAAATGGTCCAGGCTAGTCTTTGACCTTCTTGCTTTAGTCTCTCAAGTAACTGGTGTTGCAGGTGTGTACCACCATTGCAAGCCTCCATTTATATAAGCTACCAGGCTTTTGAATGTCATTTCCTGGGAAGCCACTCATGTTCCTCATTTAAAATTTATTAGGCTTTTCTCCACCCTCAGAACTGTATGCTTTCATGGTTGACACTTGGTGAATAGTGCATTTATCTTTTTTTCTGGGTAAGTTGAGAAACCATTCTTGTTTTGTGTTAAACCCCATTCTCCTTCCCCTTTAAAGAGCTAAGCAACAGTGGCTGCTTAATAGTGGAAGTGAATTTATGCATTTTAAATTAGGTTTTTGAGGCAAAATTGTCTGATTGTTTTTGATAGGAATCTTGCAAGATGCTGAACTTAAGAGAGTATTATGAGAGGGCTTTGAGAGAGTTTGGATCTACAGATTCTGGTAAGTAAAATTTGGGTATAGATACAAGCATTGGTTGTGACCTATTAGTCTGATTAGAACAGTGCTTTTAGATTTTTTTCTATCATGGCCTTGATTTTTTTGCCCCTGCCTCTTTTACTTTGTGCATGATACAAAGACACATAATTTTACTTAAAATTCTAAGTACACAAGCCCAGGATCTAGGGATTTTTCTACAAAGAACTCTGGATTAGAATAAGATTTGTTTAGTTTGGTTCTGTTAAGAAAGTATTTGTAGCTGAATGTGGCAGTACCTGCCTATAATCCTAGCACTGGGAAGGCTGAGGCAGAAGGATTGCTGCATTTGAGGCTAGCCTTGGCTACATAATGTGTTCCAGGCCGGCCTGAAGTATGTAGCAAGACCTTGTCTCAAAAAAAAGTATTTGAAAGGAAAAGTTAATAATATAGGTCATTAGTTATAGTACATCATAGGAGTGAGGAAGGGAATGGGGAAAGGTTGATTAGTGGGTGCTGAGTTACAGTTAAATACCTGTAAGAAGTTTCGGTAGCTATTATGCACAGCAGGGTGAATGTACAGCGAATAGTAATGATCTGTATATTTCCAAAGCCTGTGAAAGGAGTTAGAAGGTTTTCAATGTAGTGAAATGAGTAGATATATATAGTATGATATAAACATCATGTAATGTACGTATTTATCAAAATATCACAGTACCCACTAATTTGTATAATTTTTTATGTTTTTATATGACAAAAAGCACATTTCATTTTAAAAATTAGGTGAGAAGAACAAAAAGGTAGAAGTTACTGCAAACAGGTAAACTTGAGATGCTAATTTGGTTATCACATTGCTTTCATATGTAGAGACTTCTGGGCATGGGTTGTTACATAAAAGTAGGGCTTTATTTATGAACTCAGTAACACTGACATATAGTTATTAAATTTACATTAAAAAGATATATTTACTCCTACTGGTTTTCAACCGACTGTTCCTGGTAAAATGAATGAAAGTAGCATTTTGGGGGGAGTTTGTTTTTCTTCAATCAGATTTTATTGGTACATTTTAGGTACACATAATGATCACATTCATCATAGAGAATTTGTACCTGTACATGATATAACTTGATCTTTTTTCCCCTGTTGTCCTACCTTCCCATCAACCTTTCCTCCCCTTCCTACTAGCTTTGTTTCCATTTTTTTATTTTCTGTCTCTTTTATTTTTTTTAAACTTTTTCTCCTCCTCCATGTTCTCTTCCTCATTTGAACATTTTCTTCGTTTTTTAAAACAATACTTAATATATGTTTTGGACCCTATTTAAACTTTGGGTTTCTTTTCTTTTTGGTACCAGGAATCAAACTCAGGACCTTGCACTTGCTGTGTTGCTGAACTGTATCCCTGGCACCACATTTTGAGTTTCTTAGAAACAATGTGGCATTTACACATGTGTGTCTCATTTATTTCACTTAACAGTATGATCTCAAGGTGCATCCATTTACCTAGGAATATCTCAAATGAAAATAGCATTGTTGCTAACCTAATACAAGCATATTTTCTTAAGCATGGTAATAGTGGACAAATTGAGGTCAGTTTCACTTTGAAGAAAAGACTTAGTAAGATTCTCTATCTTTAAAGAAAATTGTAGCTTTAGTTCATTAAATGACATATGCTGGTTTTCTATTTAAAGAAATTCCCTTTCCTGGATGTAAAGAAGCTAAGAGAAGTATTGTTTTACATAGAGCTCAAGGGAAATACCAGCAGAAAGTTTCTTAGAACTCTTGAATATAGAAAAGAAACAAGTTATTTCATGTACAGGTACAGATTCTCTATGATGAGTGAAATCACTATGTATATCTAAAATGTAAGAATAAAATCTGATTGAAAAAAGGAACAAAAATCTTAAATGAATATTAAATAAGTTTTCCTAATAAAGCCTTCTTGGTTATCTATGTTTACAGTAGTTTTTTTTTGTTGTTGTTCCTTTTAAAGATCTTTGGATGGATTACATCAAAGAAGAGTTGAACCACCCCCTTGGTAGACCTGAGAACTGCGGACAGATCTACTGGCGAGCCATGAAAATGTTGCAGGGAGAGTCAGCAGAGTTGTTTGTAGCTAAACATGCTATGCATCAGGCTGGCCATTAGTGAAGAGACAAATACAACCAACTATGAAGTTGTACTGCAAGCGTTCTGGGCAGATTGTATTGTGAAACAATCTGTAAAGTGTTCAGAGTTGGCACACAAGATGGCTGATTTTTGAGACACGCTTTACTTTTGTATGACTATGTTAATGTTTAGTTCCAGAAAAGAGAATTTCTTATTAAATGGCTGCTTGTTGAGACCGGACTTAACCATAGTTCTTAGTTTCCAAAACAGGGAAATCATACAGTGGTGTTTCATTTACTATCCTCATTCAAACATGATATCTCTAATGTAGAGCTAGGAGCTAATTAAAATGGAGAAGAATGTATTGTTTTGTTTACCACAAAACAATTGTTTATTCTCTGCTTATTATCAAAGTCTCCATGGTATGCGTTTGAATATGAAGGGAAAAGGATCATGTGGAGAAGAAAGTGAAACTCTTATAATCCAGGTAGAGTTGAACTCAATAATTTGATTTCTTTTATTAAAATTGGATATATACTCATAGAATATCTGAGAAGTATTTGCATAAGAAATATTTGCTCATTTTATGCAGGACAAAAGGAGATTTTTGGACTGGGGATATGGCTCAGTAGCATAGTTTCTGCCTGGCAAGTGCAAGGTTGTGAGTTTGATTCCTGGTACCAACAAAAGGAGATTTTTGCTGGTGGTAGGGTTGGAAAAACAGATAAATGTCCTAAAAGAGATGGCTAGAGTAGCAGAGAAAAAGGTGTTAAGTTTGGGGGGAAAAGTTAAGACAGCTGAAAAAGTGTTCTGTTTCATAGGCTGATGAGTAGAGAGAGAAGTATTTGATGGAGAACCTCAGCAGTGCAGGAGGGGCAGGGTAGAGAGATACAGTGGCAGTAAAGTGCCTCAACAGGGAGGTATAGAAGGATGGTTTGGAGCAGAGAAGGGTGTAATTCAAATTATTTGAATTTCTTTCTTTGTTTTTTTGAGACATAGTCTGGCAGTGTAGTAGTTCATTTTGGTCTTGAATTTACTATGTAGCCTAGGCTGGCCTTGGACCTTCTTGCCTCATTCTCTTAAGTGCTGGGTTGAGCCATCATGTCTGGCTTGAATTATATTGTAATGTCACTTGGAGAAGTGCTCAGTGCAGTCTTATTTTAAAGTTTCACTTAAGACTATATTATTTTCTCATGTCATTAACCTTAAAAACATTAAATGAAGTTGGTCATGGTGGCACATGCCTATAATCCCAGCACTCTGGGATGCTGAAACAGGAGGATCATGTATTCAAGCCCAAACTGGACAACTTGGTTAGACCCTGCTTCAAAATGAAAAGTAAAAAAGGGCTGGGAATGTAATTCAATGCAAAGGTTCTAGATTCAATCCCTAGTCCTACTCCCCTAATTAATGAATTCATTATTCCATTGAAAAATAAGCCATGATTTATTTTAGTAATCTAATCTTAAATGGTTAGGTCAGCCTCCCAGTTAGCTGGGAATATAGACATGAATCACCATACCTGGCACAGAGGGGTGTGTGCACGATTTTTTTTGTTTTAAAAAAATGCTTTGAAAATCTTTATTCTTAGCTGGGTGTGGTGGCTCACGCCTGTAATCCCAGCACTGAGGAGGCAGAGGTGGGAGGATGGTTGCAAGTTCGAGACCAGCCTGGGCTACAAAGTGAGCTCAAGGCCAGCCTGAACTGCATAGCGAGACCTCGTCTCAAAAAAGACCAAAAAAATATTTATTCTTGCTGAGGACACCTCAATTTTTTTCCCCTAAACATCTAATTTTTCCAATACTACTTAGCCAGTTACTTTCCTCTGCTAATTCATGATGCTACCTTTATGGTATACTGAATTTTATGAATATTACAGTATTTTAGAATATTTTGGGGTCTTTCGTTTGCTTGTCATTTGCTTGAAGTTTCCTTCCCCATCTATCAAGTGGGAAGTTTAATTTTCTGCAGCAGCGATAGTATAGGCCCCTTAGAGCAGGACTGTGAAAGTGGGTCTCCCTGGTTCACCACATCCTCCCTGTGCCTGGTCCTCACTGTTGAAATTATGAAAAAGCATCCAGCTGGTTCACTTTGAATTGCACTGTTAAATGTGGTGGCCACATGTGACAGCTTACATCTGGAAGTCAATAATTTGGTTTCTTATTTACACTATCTGTATTTCAGGGGCTCAGTGGCCACATGGTTACTGTATTAGATACCACATTAAAAAAAAAAATTCTCCACAAAACATTCTGTTGGACAGTGCTGATCTAGATCCAGCTGGATTTGGTGCAGTGACTCATGGGTCATCACAACAGGACACAATTGGTCACATTCCCTTTTCTGTAGGAAAACAAAAACCACGAATGTGTCAACTACACCCTATATATTTTAAAATGTCATTGCCTGAGAGAGATGAAGGAAAAGGCTCTGGATTGCTCCAAGACACTGAATTAAGGTTTTCTGGTGAGCAGGGAATCCCGGCTTCCAGGGTTTCTGATGCTTTATAACAGGATCATCATACCACAAGCTGGCTTGCTAAGAGGTTAGGCAGTGGGAGCAGAGCCGGCCTCAATCGTGAAGGGTCTTCATATGAGCGTCCCCCCCCCCCCACCTCCCCGTGCCCTGCCCCATGCATAACCTGCCTGTCACCGAGTATGCCCCAGGGCAACGGAACAGGGGCACTGACCTGATGCTACCCTTAAGGCACAGAATGGTAGGGTATTGGTGACCTATTTTGTCCATGCATTGCAGCAGTTTGTTGATCATCTACCTTAGGTTTTAGTGGATTAACTTTAAGGAACATCATTAACTGAAATCAGAGTCATTTGAGAATGAGTTACAGTCCAATTCCAGCCTGGACACTAGAGAAATCTGCGGAGGGACAAAGTAAAAGTGGTCAGAGCCTCAGTGGTGTTAACAGTTTCAACAGCTGGGCTTTATATCCTGTCGCATAGATTCAGAATCCTGGTGCTGAAGCTCGAACAGTCCGCCTGGCTCGGGAGGGTAACAGTCCTTCAGCCTTAGCTAGCACGGGTAGCGGGTACAGGACCCCTAGCGCTTCTGACCCCGCCCAGGCTTCCCCGTGACCCGCGCCCCGCCCCTGGCTGCGAGCGCCCCTGCTGATTGGCCCCTCGGCGGCGGCGACTCCAGCTAGCGGCCCAGCCGGCACGTCACGTGGCCGCGCAACGTCCAGGGCGCCGAGCGGCGGGTGGGCAGCCGGCATGGACCCTCAGGCGGCCGCAGCCCAGGCGTTGGGGGCTGTGGGGTCGCCTCGGGGCCTCTCGCTGTTGAGCACGCGGGAAGGTCCCCCTAGCCCGGAGGTGAGCGCCGCGCGGGGGCGGGGCAGCTTGCACCTGCAGCCCGGGCGGGAAGTCACAGGCCAGGGGCGGTGTCGGGCGGGGCCGCTGGGGGGCGCCGAGGCCGCGCGGGCCCGGGAGCCGGTGGCGTGGGCAGTGAGGCGCGGGTCTTCGGTTAAGGGAGCTGATGTGGACCAGCGGGAGCGGGAACCCGCTGCCGGGAACCTGAGGAGTGGAGGAACGGGGGTTTAACTCGGGAAGCCCAGTCCATAGTGAGCTCCAGGGGATGCCATATGCATCGTCTCCTTTTCTGTTTAATGAGACCAAAAGGCCCTGTTTGAAGCAGGTTTTCCAGAAACTTGTTTTAACATGTGTCCCAGACAGCCCCCCCCCCCCCACCAAGACAGCTATCACCTGTCCATGTTTGCAGTTAATCCCTTGGTCAACAGTGAGCTCTCGGACAATAGGTTCTCTGCTTTGGGCTGTTTACCCAACGCCCAGCATTGAGCCTGGAACATTACATACGCATATTAACGGAATGGATGGATGGAATGCTTGCTTATGCATCAAAGACGGTGCTTTACCCAGGAATATAGCCATAGATTTATGAAGCAAATTAGTTTGCCAGGGCTTGGTGGCGCATGCTTGTAATCCTAGCACTTGGAAGGCTAAGGCAGGAGGATTGCCGCGAGTTCAAGGCCAGCCTGGGATACATAGTGAGTTCAAGGCCAGCCTGAACTATGTAGCGAAACTCTTGTCTCAGAAACAAAAATCCCGCCCCACCAAAAGGAAGCAAAATTATTTTGGATTGAAGAATGGGATAAGATTAGGTGAGAGGTTCAGTGTTGGCGTGAGCATAGTTATCAGTGGTTGTCACTGACCCACAAAAGGTGGAATTCCTGTTAAGCCCTTGCATTAGTAGATAATGCTAATTGGGGCAAGTGCCAAGTATAATTTAGATGCTGGATAAAAGATGAGTTTAAGTTCAAGAAATGTTACATTCCTGCAGTGTATTAAAGAGTTTCCTTAAATATTACTTCATCATAAGCCCCTTGCAAGGTGAGGAAAACCAGTTTCCAGTTTCTAGGGGAGGTCATACTGAGTTAATGGCCGAGACAGGGCTGAAATCATTCTAACCATTACAGACTGTGAACGTAACGTGTATCATTAGAAAGACCTTGGAGATTATACGGTTTCAGGAACTTTTTATGAATGTACGTGATCCTCTTCAGCCTTTTGAGTACTGTGCCTAGGCATGAATCACCATGTCCAACTTATTTGTCTATTGGTGGTACAAGGATTGAATCTAGTGCCTTGTGCCTGCTAGGCAGGCACTCCACCACTGAGCTACATTCCTAGTTCTTTTTGTTTTATTTTTAAATTTTTATTTATTTATTTTTTTGGGTCTTTTTTGTTTTTATCGGTACCAGGGATCGAACTCACGACTGCCTGCTTGCAAGGCAGGCGCTTATGCCACTGAGCTAAATCCCCAGCCCCTATTTTTAAATTTTTAAGTAGAGTCTCAGTTTGCTCAGGCTTGCCTCAAACTTGGAATCTTGCTACCTTGACCTCCTGAGTAGCTGGGATTATAGGCATGTTCCACCATGACCTCAGGTCTCATGAACTTTCAAGTATGAGGCCAGAAAGTATCTGATTGGTGATGGGAGATTTGAAAAGTTCTTTTTACTGCTTAGCATTCGCAGAGGAACTAAAGCTTTGTACTTCCTGTATATCAGTGAGGAGATAGAACTAGATAAAAGTAATTGTTCTGTGCATAGAATTTTTTGTTTTGTTTTGTTCTTTGAGACAAGCTCTTGCTATATAGTTCAGGCTTGCCTTGAATTTACAGATCCTCCTGCCTCAGCCTCTGTGGTGCTGGAATTACAGGTATGTGGCCACTATGCCCACCATAAAGATAGTGAGTATCTGAAAAGGTAAAAGGTATATACAGGTAGCACCTTCAAACAGCAGCCAACCCTATGGCTGAGGGAACAGAGGGCTGAAGTTGGAGTGATTAAAATATATAAACTAAGCCTGGTGTGGTGGTACAGAGTTATAATCCCACCACTCAGGAGCCTGAGGCAGGAGGATCACTTGAGTTTGAGGCCAGCCTGGGCTATATAAGCAAGTTCAAGGCCAGCCTGAACTACATAACCCTGCCTCCAAAAAAAAAATTTATGTATGTACATATATATATATGATAAATATATACATGCCTAGAGGAAAGTCTTTGCAGCATTGAAGTTTCAGCCTCCAAGGAAAGAGTGTTGCTCCAGCTGGCATTGGGTTCTAAGAGTTTGAGAAGAGGTCCTGAGGCCCAGGCCCTAGAAGAGATGACCTGCTGTTGATGCTGACTCTGCAAATGCTGGCAAAACTGGAAGCTGCCTCCATTGACTGTGATAGGAAGGCACTCCCACTGGCAAGGGTGAAGAGTGTTGCTGGGATGGAAGGAACGAGACCTTTCTTCTAACCTTGCCGAGTGTAAATGGTAAAGCAGACAATGGGGGCTGCAGGATCTCCTCCCTGTGCCATGAAGGGGAGTATGGCAGGGGTTCTCAGCTGCACAGTAGTGGCTTTCTTTGGAGCATATCCCAGATCTCCAGGTTCCTGGTCATTACTTTTTCTACAGGTTGGCCTTGCTACAGCTGACCATTCTGGTCCCGAGAGAGAGACTGAGCCGGCCGTGGATCGACTAGGCAAGTAGATAGCAAGGCTTGGGTGGCTGTTGGGAGAGATGGAGGAAAGACAAGAGGATAGTCCCTATGTCTTGTTTACCTTTCCCTGCTAGCTAGTGTGTGTGTGTGTGTGTGTGTGTGTGTGTGTGTGTGTGTGTGTGAGAGAGAGAGAGAGAGAGAGAGAGAGAGAGAGAGAGAATCTTGCCATATAGTTCAGACTGGCCTTAAACTCACTATGTAGCCCAGGCTGTCCTTGAACTCACAGTGATCCTCCTGCCTCAACCAAGTGTTGAATCTGACCCTTTTTGCCACCGAGTTGCCTTCTCTGCCCAGTATTTCAACAATGCCCTTGTTTGGAAAGGCCTATGGAGCTTCCCTAAGTGACATCCTGGGCCTTCCTTGTGTCTAAAACCACCCCTTCCATAGACAGGAACACTTTGGAACAGTGAAAAAAATACAGGCTTTGGAGTCAGGCAAAATTATTTTAGTTTCAGCCCAAGGTCAGAGTGTCCTTGGCTTTAAGTAAGTTATTTAACTTTTCTTTACCTTAAAATGGGGCTGATAATACCAGTCTCTTAGGGTGGTGAACCCAGGTGGTGAACCTGTGGCATGTGTGCTGCTGCAGGCTCTTTGTATCATTAAAAACTAAAAGGGTCACAGTTCCTGTCCCATGGCTTTCCAAGGATTGAAGAAGGAAGATCTAGAACTGTACTTTCAAGTGTAATAGCCATTAGCCACTGATCCTAGATAAATTTAATTTTAAGCAAATAAAAGGAAAAATGTAGCTCCTTGGTCACACTAGCCATGTTTCATGTACTCCATAGTCAGTCACCTGTGGCTTGCAGTGTTGAACAACGCAGAATGTAGAGCATTTCCATCATTGAAAAGAGGGCCAGTGGCCAGTGCTGGCATAGATCGAACACCTGATAGGTGGCGTCACAGCACCTAGCACTTGTTGAGTATTTTCAGTGTTTTCTCAGAGTTTTCTTTAAACTCATAACAATGCTATATTACAGATAAGGAGACTGAGCAAAGTAAAAATGTTAAATTGTGATAAAAGATACATAAATTTATTACTTCATTTAAAGAACACAGGGCTGGGAGTTTAGCTCAGCAGCGCAAGTGCCTGCCTGGCAAGTGTGAGATTGTGAGTTCGATCCCCGGTACCAAAAAAAATAAAAAGAATACAGTCAGTGGCATTTAGCACAATGACAAGAGTGGTGCAGCCATCACTGATAGTTCCAGATCATATTCATCATCCCAAAAGGAAGTCCTATATATCTATTAAGTAGTCGCTCTCCATTCTTCTCTTTCCTACTTAACTGCTTCCTGTCTCTGATGGTGCACCTATCTGGATAGGCAAATGTGAGTTGACCAAAATAGCATCATACAGTACACAGTCATTTTGTGTCTGGCTTTTTTCAAGTAGGCATATTTTCAAGGACCATTCACGTTGCAGCATGTATGGGCACTGCATTCCTTTTAATGGCTGAATACTTCCATGCATGAATGTGACACACTTTGTTTACCATATACCCATGGATGGACGTTTTGCTTTTGGTGATTGGGAGTACTGCTGGTGTAAACATTCTTTTCAGTTCCTTGTATATGTATATGGAGTAGAATTGCTGGGTCATATGGTAATTCTAGGGTTAACTTATGAGGAATAGGTTAAGTACATTTGAGCTCAGTAACACATCCAATAATTGAAGGCCAGAGCTGAGCCCAGATGATCTGGTTTTAGACTTCTTGCTTGAACTATTACATTATTGCTTATAATTTATTGTTAACAGTGTTAACAGCCACTTTTATGCTGAGTCCTTTCCCAGCACCGACCTGGAAACACCATAGCCTTTCCTCAGAATTTCTTTCCATTATGAGATCTTTTGAAAATGTCCCTGCCTGCTTTCTTGATGTCAGGAAGAGGTACATAGAGACTGCATGTTGTAACTACACAGGCCGTGCTCTTCTGCCTGTGTTTCCTCTGCTTCTTCTGATACCTTCATTCAACTCCGATGTACTCTTTGAGCCCCAACGAAGGAATTGAAGGATCAAATTCAATACAAACTTGTGCAAAAACAGGAAACCACCTGCAAATGTAAATGGGGCTTAGCTGCCTCTGTGAACTACAGTTAATGACCTGGCAATTAATGACCTTGTTTAAGGCAAAACATCTTACTGAGAAAAAAAAAAAGAACCTTCCTCTAGAAACATAAAAGTAAGTGCATAGATAACCAAGAACTCTGTACATTTGTGTTACCACTCTCTTAGTCTGCTACATGTTTTCCAAGCACAGGAGCAGGACTTCTCTGGTTTTTCAGTTTTAAAAACTTCCTGTTGTCAATTTCTTTTAGTCAACGGAGCACAGAGCGTCCCTAGTGACATTCCTAACCACAGTGAGGACACATGTTTTAAAGCAGAAGGCTTTGCAGTGAATGAGGAGTCTGGTGGGGAAAAGAACACCTGGGAGCTGTGGCAAGCAACTCGCTTTCTGCCCAAGGAACAGACTGCTGACGTTTTTAATGAGGACTGGGATATGGAGTTGAAAGCAGATCAGGGGAATCCTTACGGTAGGTGTGGAGTTTCCCCGGTAGGTGTGGAGTTTCCCCGTCCGGAGCCAGACGTTTTCGGACTCTTCTTTCAGATTAACCCTGAAGGCAGTTTGGGAAAGGGTTCACCTGGATGGTTCAACCTCACTGTCACTGTAGGCCTCAAGTTTCTGTGACAACTTTTTTAAATTTAACAACAACAACAGAAAGGAAAACTGCAAACTTTGCAGTTGACTCCATAATGTAGCACTTGGTTTCAACATGGAAAAAATGTTACCCTCTCCAAAAATCTTTGTCCAAATTGAGCAGCTGCAGACAGAAGTGCTGTTTTTCACTTGCTTCCTCTCCCCTGCTAAGAACTTTGTCTTAGAAACACAAAGGGATTCAGAATGACTGTTTGCGATACTGTTTGCGATTCTTCAGGAAAGAAGCACTATGTTTGTGTATGTTAGTCTACATGTTTGTGTTATTAAACAAAATGGGAGTGTCTGTTCCCTAGACATTTTTTTGGTTTTGCAATCTGTTTTCATCTTTCTTCCTTCTGCTAATCTGTCTTTTAAAACTGCCTACAGATGCGGATGACATTCAGGGGAGCATTTGTCAAGAGCTCAAACCTTGGGTGTGCTGTGCCCCACAAGGAGACATGATCTATGACCCCAGCTGGCACCACCCCCCTCCACTGATTCCCCATTATTCCAAGATGGTCTTTGAAACAGGACAGTTTGATGATGCTGAAGACTGAGTAGAACTTTCTGCCTTGTGGTAGGCGGGTCCTGCAGGTTAAAGTCTGTCTTCCCGTCTTTGGAGGTGAGATGTCCTGTTTGAGACATTGTTGTCAGTAATTCCCAAGTCTGGGCTGCACAGGTCCTGCTGTTTCCCCCAGTTCTGTTGTTGTTGTTGTAATGGATTCCTCTCTGGGTTGTGTGAGTACTTGTGTCTGTGTCAGGAGGAATCGTGTTCTTTATAAATAAACGTAGAAAAAAAAATCAACAGTCTTTGTCTTTTTTTCTTGCTTTTATTGAGGTGTTTCTGAGCCAGGTCTTACTCCTCCATTTAAAGTACCTAAATTAAATTTTAAGGATCAGAGTATTTAGATAAACTAGAGATTTACGAAGTCACTCTTCAAAAATATTAATCTCATTCTAGAGGTGAGAAATGTAAGACCTCCAAATCCACGCAGTGAGAGGTAGAATGTGCAAGCTGTTCTCTTCAATGGGCCCACATGTGCGAGAGCATAGCAGCAGGGTTTGGGGGCCACACGTTGGTCCACAGAGTAAGTCATCTTTGCGTGTTTGACCTGCTGAGGAATTGATTAACCTCCTTCTGTTCATCTGAGCTGAATTAGGAAAAGATTTGGCACAAAATCTTAGTAAATAGCAGTTAAGTAAATAGCAGTTAATTGAGCATTTAACCATTTGTTTTTCAAAGGCTTCACAAAGTATGTGAACAAGGTAGAGCCATGAGATGGGAGGCAGCAACTTCGACTATGAGGGGCCTTGGGACCATGGTGGTCCTAGAGAGAGAAAATGTCCCTTCCATTAACTTTGCCACAGGGACAGTTGTAGAGCCTTTCTTTCCTCCTCCTCCTCCCAGAGTCATAGCTGACAAGGCCATGAGTGTGTGAGTGTGTCTGGCATGAAAAGGTAAAGAACCAGAGACTGGTGTGGCTATGTACACCTGCACTCTCAGTAGATTTGCACATGCGAGGCCAGCCTGGGTTACATATTGAGACCCTGTCTCACATATGGTAAAAAGTGAGCCAAGACATTGAGAACTTGTGGGATTTGGCAGAAATTGTCCAGGGTTGTATCCGCTCATGTATAAACTGAAGTTAGGAAGCAGCTGAAACCAAGTGAAGGCAGAGTCATGGTGTGGAAATCATACATGCGCACACCATGTGTCCAATGCAGGGGAGGGAAGAAAAAGGTGTATGTGTATGAGTAGCTGAGCAAAGAGCCACCAGATTTCCCCTGCTGTGATCTGTGGGAGACTTGGATCTAGGGTTCTCCTGATGTTTGCAAGTTAATCCTTGTAATTTTCCCTGCCAGTTACACTGGACCCTCAACTGCTCTGACATGAACAATTTGTGTTATGACCAGAATTTCAGTTTTACAACCAAAGTCTTGAGTTAATGACCTGAGCGCCTGCTGCTTGTGCTTCCAGGTGGTCTTGAGTACTGATTTAACCCATAAAGAATACTGGAAGGAACATTAAACATCCTTTCATATATGGGGTTAATTGTGAAATCTTGGGCAAGTGTCTCTCTAAGGATACCGAAATCTGCCTGAATACAGGAGAGAGACTTTGAAGGCAGTGTAGAGGAGCCTGAGCCTCAAATAGACAACTTGAGTCACAGCCGGCCTTTGGGAATGAATTGAGTTCACAAGTCAAGGGGCCACCCCATTTCAGCAAAGCAAATAGGAGGGTAAGAGTGTCTATTGGAACAAGTAGGTACAAAATAATACTTTCTTAAAGACTGTGGGTTTTGTTTGTTTGTTTTGCGTTGTGCTGGAGATTGAACCTAGAATCCCACATATGCTAGGCAAGTGTGCTGCCAATCACTGAGCCACATCTCCAGTGCTGGAATGACTTTCTGGCTGAAATGCCCGTTGTCAGGAGAGCAGGAAAAGGGGAGATGGAGCTGGTTAGTTCCAATGTCTCCAATGGACAGAGAAAGGTGTGGAGAAGTGCTCTGACAGGGATGAGGTGCGAATGAGGAAAACAACCAGTAGTGAAATAGAAGAATATTAATGAGTGAAAATGTAGGCTGTGAAACTTCTCTGATAATACTGCATATATAAAAAATCACATGTAACAAGGCTTAGCTGGTAATGGACAAAAGGAGCAGCAGTTTGATTAGGTGATAGAAATATAAGCAGTTTTCTTCATACATATTTATACTTTAAGCTATACCCCCAGTCCCTGCTTTTTGTTACACAGATTTTTGTTAGTGTAGATTTTGCAATTAAGTATTCAAAACAGAGAGAAGATGTTTTCTTAAAGCAGAGTATGCTGTGTCTAGCCTTCCCTGCTCTGACAAACATCACAGCCCTCTTCCTCTGTCATAATCGCTGGTTTATGTTCTGTTCCCTTTAGCCTGAGAGCTTTGAGAGCAGGACCATGACTCTCAACACCTCTGTTTCCTACCATAGGCTCAGCATGAAAATGTTCAGTAAATATTGGCATAAATTTAGTTCCCTTCAGTAATGGTACAAATTTACCTTGTCTGAATTAGGGTGTAATGGGAATGTATTTCCCAGGCTGGTGATGAAAAAAGAATTTGAAGAGCCTTTAAAATGCCTTTGTGTTTAGTCCTAAATATGATTAGGATTTAATTAGGATTCTTTACTAATTCATTATTTTTAAAAACAATGTGTAGGGATAGAAAAGAAGCATTCACAAGTGGTGAGTTTACAACTCTTAACACACAGACTTTTAATTCAAACCAAGTACATTTTTTTCTCTAAAAAGTAGTGTAAGTATGATAAGACGAATGAGGTTGTAATGTAGTAGGCTGTTTATTTGATAAAATCATAGTTACTTAGTTTTTTTTTTTTTTTTTTTTTTTTTGGGTACCAGGGATCAAACTCATGACCTCACTTGCCAGGCAGGCACTTACGCCACGGAGCTAAATACCCAGCCCCTAGCTTTGGTTTTTTTGAGACAGAATCTTGCTATGTAGCTTAGGCTGGTCTTGAATTCCCAGTGATTCTCCTGCCTCAGCCTTCCTAGTGCTAGGCTTGTAAGCATGTGCCAAACCTCTGACTTCATGGTTATTTAAAAAATAATTGGGCTGGGAGTATAGCTGAGTTGTAGCACGTGCAAGGCCCTGTATCCCTTCCGAGGATCCCTTCCTCCTTCCAATAAATAAATAAAAAAGAAAGAAAATACTACAATGATTTCTAACTAGTGTCTTATAATGAGGAATTGTAATTTTAGTACTCAATAAAAACAGGGGAAAAATACCTGAATCTCTGACTGAAGCTGAGAAGTCTCAATCTCAAATTGGGAAAAGAGCATGCGTGTTGTGTGGTTTGGCCTTGTATATTTGCAAATCCTCTGCTTACTGGAGCTGCAGGAAGCTTACTCATTAGAAGGAGCTACCCCTTGCTGGCTAGTGCTGTTAGAAAAGGCTTCCTTACATTGAGCTAGTCTACCCCTTTGGCCCTGGTCTGCTCTGCGTTCCTGACACTTTTCAAATACTGGAAATTAGCAACCTTACCCTCTCTCTGGATATTGGTTTTCTAGACTCAACTGTCACCAAGCAGGTGCATATACAAGGTGTGACTGAAATACATGGTGAATGTTTAAATTTAAAAAAAAGTAAAAGATACATTGCTGTTAATCCCTCTGGAAATACTCCCCACCTTGTGAACACACCTGTCCCATCATTCTGGCCACTTCCTGAAGCCATTCTGGAAGCCCTCTTCCATGCCTTTATGAGGTGTGATAAAAAAAACAGTGAATGGCCCTGCCATGTCCCTTCCAATGGGACGGCAGAGAGCCACCTTATTTACTGAACCCGGCAGCTTGTGAGTTCTGACTTTTTCCCAAAGTTAAAACAGTCTTGAGAGGTACGTGTTTCAAATTGAGTCAGAACATCAAGGTCGTCACAACAATGCAAATAAAGACATCAGCAAGTAGCAAGCACCATGGAATGATTGTGTTTGAAGTGAGAGGGAATATTTTGAGATGAATGGCAGGTTTGAGATGAACCTTAAGCTTTCGCCTTAGCTTTTGATCTTATGTGGGAGATGGAGATACTGGAGGTACAAAGGAGTGGATTTGTGAAGTTCCTGTAGACACTACTCTAGAGAGGGAGGTGGAGATTGGCGAGGCTGGGTGTGTGGTAAGCAGAAAGCTGAGATGGAGATGGAAGGATCTGATGACAAGGACAGGTTGTGGCAGCAGGAGAGGAAAACCAGGGAAGTGTGGGTGCAACTCAAGCCATGTGAAGAGGACAGTCTTAAGGAAGAGAGAGTAGCCGTCTTTATAAAGAGAGTCCAAGAAGAAGGCTGAAAGGTATGTGATGTAAGGTCTAGGGGTTGGGTCAGCCTTCCCAGGACCTCCTCAGCCACTGCCTTTGGTGCTATTGTTCCCTTGACCTGCCCAGCACTTTCTGAATGTGTATGGCAATCTGGGAAGAGGTAGGCGGGGAGAGAAATGGAATGGAGAGGAACACAAGTGGCCAGAGGCTGCTGAGAAGTACAGGTACCAAGGGAGAGGCAGGAAGAAATGAGAAGCTTTTATTCTGATGTTTCTTTTAAACAATGTCATTTACTAAGAAAGAAGCCACCACTGACCTCAGCCTTGGGTGATGGAAGGAAGGGTAAATATGTATTCCTTTAGCATGTTTGGGTCACATAGATGAGATACATATGTTTTTCTCACACTTACCCCTGTCCCCGTGCAAGCCAGCAGTTGGCTTTCTGCTCTGTGCTTTAGGGTGGAGGCGTTGAGCACGGCTCAGAACACCAAGACATCTTTGCTGGCTTGCTTTCTATAGAAAGTGGTTTAATTTTGTTAAAGATGCTTTTTTTGTGCATCTTGAAGAAATGTGGAGAAAAGTATTTTCCCCAGGCTGAAAAAGAAAAAGAAAACAAAAACAACAGAAACTCCCCCCTTCCCCAAACAAACAGCCCTTGAGATGTGTGAAGATAAGGGTGGCTAAGAGCAGATGGACATGAGCCCAGCTTCCTGGAGGGTCCCTGGAGAGTTAGGTCCTCAGTGCTAGATGCTGGTGCCTCTAGGGAGGTCAGGACTACCCTGCCAAGAGTCTTTATGCTTACAGTATTCCAAAACCTTGATGGACTCGGTGCCGCAGGATAGGGATCCCTTTGAAGATGGATGTGGGATAACTTGATGCCCACCCCATTGTCTGTCACTGCCTGCGGCCCAGCTACAACTCTGAGGAAACGAGAAGCTGCAGACATCAAGATGTGAAGGAAGTATGTGAAGGGAGGAGAGGGGGAATGGGAAAAAAAGAAGCA